AGCAAATACGTATCTGTGTTCTGTTAAAAACATTATGCATTACAGGTACAATGGTTTTTTTCTCCATGGAATTCAGAGTTTGTGTCCATGTTAGTTAAGCTTCATTGCTTTTTTGGGGGGAAGGGTGTATCACACATGCCACAAATACATGTGTAAAAATCTAAATTACGTAGTAGAATGTCATTTATATTTGCATATTTCTGCTTTAAATGCTGAAACAACTCCCACAGCTCTATTTACTAAGTAACTACAGCATATAAAGGCAGAACATTTTCTTCTGGGCTTTCATGAAGGAAGGGGAAACAGGAAATAAGAAAGGGCCAGGGAAAAAGAGTGTGATTTTTTTGAGAATATTTACATACTGTCCTTTTAGTCAAGAAGATAATTGATAATAGACTATTCTTGGAAAAGTCTGAAAGCCTAATATATTAATGTAAAGGTGTTTGTATTTTTGGCAGGATCCTTCATTTCTAGAGAAAAAGGAGCGTTGTGAATATCTGAAGAATAAGCTTTCTCACATAAAACAACGAATTCAGGACTATGATAAAGTTATGAATTGGAATGTAGAAACTTAGTAATGCCTTAACTTCATGGATACTATTTTTTGGTTTTAAAATCAATATTTGTATTTTAACCTATTTATTTGGTCTTTGAACAGTAGTACACTTATGGGGATTACTTAATCACTGTCATACATTTGGATGTTGTACATTACTGATAAGTTTTGTATGCAGATCCAATTGTAATTGAAGTTACGAAATAAGTTAGGAAACTGCGCTAACATTCCGCTTTCATTAGTGCAAATCCTGGCCTCTTAAATATGAATACTTTATTTGAAAATACTTCATTTGCAAACTTGCAAAGCCTACCAGAGAAAGCAGTTTCCAGATATTTTGTGGAAACTTTGTACAGAAATGCTGGTAACAATTTTGGATTTTATTTATATGTGACATCTTAATGATATCAGAAAGAGCTGAGCTGTTCTGTCTGTGTGGGGTTTGATGCACTGCCCAATTGTATTGAATGTTTTCAGCAATTCAGAAACTAGTTTAATAAGAATTTTTGTATTGTATTTCCAAGTGCTGTCAATTATATCAAGAATCATCTTGATTTTTGCCTAACAAGAAAGGAAAAATAGCTTCTTATTTAACCAGCTGGAGGAGGGGGACTTGGGTTTGGTTTGTGTATCGCCTTCTTCAAAGACAGTGCAACAAATCTATACCTAGCCTTAAAGGACTAGAGGTACAGGATGAAGCATATTAATGTCCCATTAGTATTGCTTTAGGTCAGTGTGCTCTGCCTACCTTCTGGATCATGCTGTTAGGGGTACATGTGTTTAAGGGCTCCATTCTTCATCAGCAAGTAACAGGACTTCTTGTCCATGCAGCAGCTGTTAATGAACTTGGCATTCAGAGACCAAGTACAGCAAAATGAGTTCTCATTCAAAGTATAAATTGTTAGTATCCTCTTTAAGGCCAGGTAAAATGTATTAAAATACATACTTTCCGGAGCATATCTGCATAAATTGTATATATTTTTATATTTTCTTGGGGATATTATGCTGGCGATAGGTTTGTATGTGCAAGTATTTTCACAAGCCAGTAAATTTTCTCTTTGTATCTTTTTCATGTCTTTATTTACTTTAACTTTTTTACTTACTATAATTGTTAGAAGCATTGATAGTATTTGTACAGTTTTCTACAACTGCAATTTGTCTGTTCTGAAATATGTTTTTTACCCACCAGAGTAGCCGTATTACTCTACTGCTTATAAAGACATTTTGTTTGAAAAAGGTGCTCTGATTACAATTACTGCAAATTTTTATTAGTGATTTGAAAGAAAGTCTTAATTTCTGCCTTAATTTAAAGGAACAACATCAGGAAAGCCATTTCCAGTTTAGTGTGGTCATGGTAGTACTACCTCTGCTCTTCACTGTTGGAAATGTATTAACATACCTCACTCTGACCATTGTAGCCCTGCTGGTTTTTCAACCCCTAGCATTCATGCTGCAATCCCAATGGTCATGCACCCACCTTCATATTTGTAAAATTGACATTCCAATTTTATCAGCCATTTAATTCCAAGAGCTTTAGTGGATGAAGTAAATAGCACAAGATGCCATGGGAACACTGAGAGAATTTGAAAATTTGGCACCTCTTCATTTCAAAGCCTTAAGTCTCATCTACTGAAAAGTGCCTCAGTATTTTCATCATTCTGAGAACATGCGACAGCCAGTGCTATGCCTTGTGCTCTCTCTGTCTTTTCAGTGCCTTTTTTTCTGGTTCTGGTTTGTATTCATTTCAAAGGAGAAACCTCTCTTTCTTATAAAGGAGATGGGCCAATTTTTTATACTTGTCGTGCTGAATACTTGTTAAATTGCTCTTTGTAAGAGAAGTACCTGTCCAGATCTCCACAATCTAAATAAATGACCTCTGACGTACACCCAGGTTTCTCATTTTTTCTCAGTGACAATTCTGGGCATTGCATCAATAACAGAAGAAGATTAGCACAAGTTTGAGGATCAGCTGGTGTTCATAAAGTGCTAGCAATAACATGACTGATGTTTTCTTTGGAAGATTCACAGTCTGCACACTTAAGAGGTTTTCTTTCTGTAGGATAGACCAAGGTCCAGGCTCCTTTTGACAGTGGTCTGAGTTTTAGTCTGTGAGAAACTGGCTCCTGGTCCCTGAGACAGTGTCTGCATAGTCTGTGAAGAACCACTGTTCTGCTTCTTTCCTACAAAGTTTCCAAAAAAATTGGTAGGGAAAAGGGAACAGAATACCTGTGCCTGGAATAAGGAGATTAAGCAGCAACATCTGTATGTGGATTCTTGTGTTTCCTGGCAAGATGCCACAGGTGTGGCCAAGTAGATTTTCCAAATGTTGGGAAGAGAAGCTGGGAGAGGAATACGCCCTTCTGCCCACCTTTGGGGTTCCAAACAGGGTTGATGCAGGGCACGACAGAAGTAAGCTACCATCCTGAGGTACACAGGCCATCCTAAGGCTCAGCAAGGTGTTGCAACCATTACAGTAAATTACTTGCTCAGTCCTGTGTCTGTTGCAGGCCTCAGGGCTGCTAAAGCACCTCTGGTGTGTACAGTCTGTGTGCTGGTTTTGCTCTCACTACCCATGGACGACTGAAAAGGGTCTTGTCTTCAATGCTACAGACATGCTGGAGAAAAACTGTTAGTTTAAGATTAGTCTAACATGTTAATCTCTCAGAGAAATTGAGATTAATGAAATAAGAAATAATGGCTGGAAGCTGAAGCAACTTGGAGTGAGGCAGAAATCAGGAGGAAAATGATGGGAGAATCCCTCAATCTGAGTTACCATAAGAACTATCAAGGAAAGTGGCCTTTTGATATTCTTAAAGAATAAGAAGGCATACCCCAGACAAAACAGAAGTTTTAGATGATTATCACCTCAATCTCTAGTCCCTCTAGACTGAGCTCTGACCGTACATTTTTGCATGTATGTGTAAACAATGTGCTGTGTGGTCTTACCTGTGTGACTGGGTTTTTGCAGAAGGTAGTTAACACATAAATTAATCACCAAGGAATACAGCCTTACATCAGTGGGCTTGCTTTTAATTACAGCCTCTCCTCAAACCCCAAGTGTATGCAACAAGGAGTTTTATCCTTCAGTCTTGCTCTTAGAAAATGCTTACCTGGCTGCACAGATCTACAAATTGAGATGTTCAAGAGATTCTTTGTGTTTCTACAAATACTTTCTAAAGTAATTGTAGAAACACTATTTGTATTTCTAACTTAAATAGTTTCTAAACTGTATTTGTGTTTCTTCTTGTCTTTGTAAGATCAAAACAACTGTGGCAAGATTGGCATACTTTTTACTGAACTGTACATTTTTTCAGGCCACATAAAGTAGTGACTAACAAACATACCCAAAATTTTGTCTTGCACAATAGCCTGACCAGCTTTCATGCCAGCATAGTGACTGCAAATGCTCATGGCAATGAAAAACCTAATTGCTTTGAAATTGTAAAAGAAGTTGTCCAGTATGTTATTTATGAATTTCAGAATCGTGGTGGGATTTCAAGCACTTGTACAATAAAGTTTTACAAAATTACTGTATATCCTGTGTTCCAGTCCAGCACTGAAATTCTTGGTCTTGAGAATAAAAAATACTCCTGTTCTGAAAGAAGTCTCATTTCTCACTTATTTTATTCAAAGTGCAAGCCTATAAGACACTTCATTTCAGTGTTTTATAGATTGGATTTTTTCCTTCTAAAGAAAAAATGGTCTATGTTCTAATGGGAGTTGTTCAAACAACTATTTCAGTTCCAAGAAGCAAATTCTGACTTTTCAAAGAATTCTTCTTTTCCTGTCTGCTTTCCTTCAAAAAAAAAAAAAAATCATTGCTTTTTCCCCTGTATGGTTTAACTGAAAGCTAATTAATTTCTCCTCTCTTTCCGTTAGAATTATACACTGCTCCTGATAAATGCAATAAGCTGAAGGGTATGGAAGTGGTTAGTTTTGCCCCACTCTTGCTTCAAAAATTGTTACTACTGTTTACATGTTTTCTTCCTCATGTATTGTCTTACTTGGATGCAGAGTGAGACTCCTTAGGAACGGATGTTCAGTAACTTTCCTGTAATTCAACAGTCTTGGCATACTTCCACTGTATCCAGTAAAGTTTTAATTGTTTTGCAGAGCAATCAGCAATTAGCAATCAGCTAGCTCTGAGCTAATCCTCACTGTGGTGCTTATGAAATGGAAACTCTTGGTGACGTGACATGAATACTCAGAAATATTTCAGGTAGATGGAAAACGTGATTACTTAACATCAAAATACCTGAAACTTCTTGCTTTTGCTGGCGGGGTGACACATGGCTGCCTTCATTAACCGGCGTATGAGCACAATCATATTTTAAAATCCAGTGCTTTTTCCAGGCTCCTGCGTTGTTCCATTAATTACTGAAATGTCTTTGGTTAATGCAGAAGTGCCACCGAGACCCAGGCAGTGCCAAGAGCCTGGCGGCGCCGCCCGCACACACGAGCGAGGGGCTCCTCACGGAGCTCCGCGCCCGCACGAGGGATGTCTCCGTCAGGCGCCTTCCCTAGGCGCTCGTCCTCTCCATGACCGCACTTGGACGATTTTGAGCGCGCTGTGGAAAACACAACGGAACCTTCCCGGAACGGTCGCTCCGCGGCCCGGGCGGCGGCCGGGACGGTTTGGCGGCGCACCGAGGCGGAAGAGGGCGGGCGGCAACGTGTCGGGGACGGCCGGGCCTGACTGCGGGTTGGGGCTCGTGTCCGTGTCCGTGTCCGTGTCCGTGTCCTGCGGCTTTACTCAGCCCTCCTCGGCTCCCCTCGGCTGCCTTTAGGCCCTCCGCACGCCTCTCAGTGTCCCTCGGCTCCTCTCAGAGCCTCTCTCACCCCCCCTCTTCTTCCCGCAGTCCCCCTCGTCACCCCCGCGGCCCCTCGTCTCCCCTGAGCTCCCCTGACATTCCCTCAGCGCCCCGCATCTGCCCTGCTCTCCCCTCCGCCGCCGCGGAGATGGATGACGAGCCCGAGCGGACCAAGCGCTGGGAAGGAGGCTATGAAAGAACGTGGTATGTTTTTCCCCCCTCACCGTTCTCTCCTTTGTGGCGAAAGAGGAGGAAAAACTTCCTCTCTGCCCACTGTAACAGTCTGTTCTGCGTAGGGAAATTCTTAAGGAAGACGAATCCGGCTCGTTGAAGGCAACCATCGAGGACATTCTCTTCAAGGCAAAGAGGAAAAGGTATGTGGTGTGGCCACGAGCCCGCTAATAGCACTGACTTGGTCAGTTATAAGGGCTCGATCATCCTGAAACTGGGTCCTGTGGGATGAATTAACCATAAGGCATGCCTGCAGGATGCTTTTATGTTCTTTCTCCTTCAGAGGGGCAGGTGTATGCCAGAAAAAATGGTGGAAAATTAATTTTTATCTTTTAACACTGATTGTATACAGGCTGTGTATCCCATGTGTATGCAAGCTACAGGTCTTGATCTGATGAAACGCTGCAGAGCACTGCAGCTGCAATCTGCACAGCTTAGAGAAATCTTCCATCAATTTTTTTTTTTTTTTTTTTAGTACACAAACCAGAGAATTGCAAGATAGTTTAGGTTGGAATGGACCTTAAAGATCATCTCACTCCAACCTGCTGTGAGCAGGGACAGCTTTCATTGGACCAGATTGATCAGAGCCCCATCCAAACTGGCCTTGAGCTCTCCCAGGGATGGGGCATCCACAGCTTCTCAGAGCAACCTGCTCCAGTGTCTGACTATACTCATTGTAAACACATGTTTATCTCCAATCTAAATCAACCCTGTTTTAGTTAAAAACATTGTTCCTTGTCCTGTCACCTGTTCTGTCAACAGAATCTGCCTTCTGGTATCAGGGCTACAGATTTCTGTTTCAAATTTCAGGAAAATGGCTAGAAAAAAATCCTAAGTTTTGTGTTATTTCAAGTTATGTTAGAATTTGATTTGTCAAATTTCGATAGAATTTTAAAGCTTCATTAAACCCGGTAGTAATAAATAGTTCTTACTTATTTTCTGAGAGTTGTGAAATCTGTGATTGAGCTGTGGAGTTTCTCAGCATGAATTAGTGTCTGCAATTTGTTGCTTCTACACTTTAGCCAGAAGTCTAGTATTGGATTTGTTCGGACTTTTGTTTTAGGAGCCATTCACTCATTTGAATTTGACTTAAATCTTTCTGTGTTTTGTTAGACTCAATGAGCACCATGGACAAGTTCGGCTTGGAATGGTATGTTAGTACCGTAACCCTCTTCTGTCCTTAGTCCAAAACTGTTTGCCTAGAGGTGGAATGCCAGATCTGAAATACAGTTCTGCTGGCCTAGCATACTTCATGCCAAACCTTGTGGTTTCCGCTGTTATTTACTGGGGTTTTTTTAAGCATTCTTTGTTTGTTGGCAGTGTGTACGTGGAGCATGGCTATTCAGGGCTGGAGGTTTGGCACACAGGGTGTGTTTGGCAGCAGAAGTCAGACCACATGTGCTCGCACTGTGAAAAGTGGACGTGATGGAAATGGGTTGTAAATAACCACATTGCTTTGTACAACACTGAGCTCTTCAGATGAAGACATGAATGCTCAAACTATGCATGTTTTGTAGCTTGTCATGAGAATCATAAGAGGAGAAGAGTAGTGTGAATTTTTCAAGAGAGAGATTTTTTTTTATTTTAAGAGAAAAGTGGAAGAATTTGTTACTTTTCAGTTGCTGTTAACTGCACCTCTCAATCTACTGAATCTTCCCTGTTAGAGGGAGGAAGTAGTGGCTTTTTAAAGTAAATGGAATAATGAATTCATTTCAATATGTATTCTGAGAGTGATTTTCACATATGGTGGATATGCAGATGCGTCACCTTTACGTGGTTGTTGATGGATCAAGAACAATGGAGGACCAAGACTTAAAACCAAACAGACTTACTTGCACTCTGAAGGTATTCCTGCACCCAACTTTTTTCTTACTGAGCCACCGTCTCTGTATAAACTGGTTGCGTTTTGCGTTTCAAAGAACTGCAGTCTCCTGTATCTGCATAGCCTTATCTCTCATCCCTGCATTCGTCTCCTTGTTTCTGCCTGTCACTTTCCTGTTTTTTGGATAGTAAAATCTGTGTGGCATTGGTTTGCCTTGCACATGTACTTCTGTACAGTAAAAACACTTTGCACGAGCATGTTATGGAAAGACACATTTGGAAACTAAGTGGAAATTAAGTGTTTCCCAGATAAAGGGGATGACATGTTCTCATCACACATCTAGAATTGGTTTGTATTTTTTTCTCTTACAGTTGGGTTTTTATGACTTCTTATTTGAAAGGATGCTAGATGAGAGTTGAATTGGATTGCTGTTTCAGATTGTGGAGGACTTGAACTGTGTACATTGTGTTCTCTGTGTTCTTCTCCAACAATACTTGAGCCTGGATTTTGCTGGTTTTGTACAGAGTAGTGCTTTTTGGTGTACTGAAAACCTCCATTTAAACCAGCAGGAATCTAGAACTTCAACATAGGACATGAATAAAATAAGGGGGATGTAGTTTCTGAAATCTCATTTAATTGCATACTTGGGATGAAGGGGGAGGGATAGGGTGAAAGAAGAATGGAAAGAAGAGGCTCATTCCCCCTTTTTGTGTTACCCAACTACTTTGTTTTGCTTTTTAGTGGTACCAGATGTTTTGCATCTACTTAAATGCATGTGTAATAAAAGTATAATTAGTTTTTAATTGCCTTAACTTTTCTTTATAGTTACTGGAATATTTTGTTGAAGAGTACTTTGACCAGAATCCTATTAGTCAGGTATGTACAACCATGCAAGAAACAAATAACAGAAAACTATTTTAGAAGGTAGTTTTGGTTATAAAACTACCAAGTAAACTGTTTTCAATTTATGTGTACTTTCTCATCCTTTATTCATCAGTCTAGTGAAATTCTTGTTTCTGCCTGTTTCTGCAGTTAGAGTTTTTGAAGATTTCTTTTTGTACCTTTTGGCAGTAGTAACGAAAATACAGAAGTGTTTATAAACTGATGCATCATGTTGTGCTGCTGTTGTTACACTTGAAGTAAAACTTTTATGGTTAAATAATTCTGGTCCATAAAGACATTAAAAAATATAGTAACATTCTAAATAAACTCATTGTAAAACTTTCCAACAAAAGTTTGGTCTTTTTCCCCCCTTTTTCAGATTGGCTTAATTGTAACCAAGAGTAAAAGAGCAGAAAAAATGACAGAACTCTCAGGTAGGGAAGTAGTATTCTTGTCTTAAATTGCAGATGTTTTTATCCTTTTCATTGGTGTTCTAAGTTCTGCCTGATACATTGCTGAAAATGAAGTTATCATAATGAGTTTTGATTTAAAAGATAAATTATTGCACGTTGTTTGAAAACATAATCTACATTTTGATCTGCTTTTATCCAGAATTGTCATTGTGTGCTCGTTTGTGATCAAGTCTCAATCAGAATACAACTCGGATATGTTCTGACTTTCCTATAGTTAATTTTCTACCCTGTTTGTTAATTTTGTATGTTACAACATACTTGTTTTTTGTGAGATCTGATCAGATGTTGAGAAGTCAAAGTTTGTTTGGTTCCTGCCTGCTGTTACGCCTGTCTCTGTGGCTTCAGCAGGTTTCATTGAGGGGATTGAGGATCAATCAATCTTTGAACAATGATTTGAGGATAACAGAGGAAACAAAACTCTTTTTCTGTTTGTGGGACATGTCACACTCATGTTGAGTGCTTAATGATATCCAACAGTGATTTTACTCTTTTTGGCTTCTAAACTTACTAGCATCTGAGTGCCCATTGAGTAAAAGTATTTTTTACTCTTTTCTGCCTTCTGATCAAAATACCAATTTCTAAGGAAAAATACAAGCCCGTTCCACTCTGAAACCAGTTCCTGTTGTTGTACAAGTACGTTTCATTACATATGCACTTTAAATATTTCTGTTCTTTAACTTGTTGTATCCGTTAAATTGATTGCGTTTTTTCACTTACAGGAAACTCAAAAAAGCATGTAACTGCTCTGAAGAAAGCAGTGGATATGAATTGCAGTGGAGAGCCTTCTCTGTATAATTCCCTCAATTTGGCCATGCAGACTTTAAAGTTAGTATATACAAGGAGGTTTTTAGTTGTCTTTGTGATTGTGACTTTTGAGAGGCAGAGACAGAATTTTTTCTAAGTAGCATCTTGCATCATGCTGCCTTGAGTCTTTAAAAGGTGACTTTATATCCTCTTACAATACAAATCATTGTTAAATACTCTAGTAGTGCAGGAGTTTGTTTTCTACACTAGATGCTTGTATTTAGGGGCGTGCTTCTTACAGAAATGAAATTTCGAAACCAATTTGATGATGGTATGTAGATATTGTCATGAAAGACACTGCAATTCTTTTTTACTGAAGGGCTGTGGTATGAGAGAGGACATAGTTAGGGGTTAATAATGTAAGAGAACAGGAAAAGAAACAGTATTGTGTCACAATAATCTTGTGAGAGTTATGGCATACTTTAGAAAGATCAGTTTTCAGGTAGGATAGATTCAGAGCACTTTTTTGCAGTGTGAGGTATTGAGATGTATCCCAATTTGTGGAAGACTGAATAAAGAATTACAGCTAAAGACACTGACTGAACAAAATGGATAATCAGTTCATGAAAAGTTATTTCATTACCAGCAGGAAGAGAGTAGTAATGTATTTACACTTAAAAACTGATTAGAGCTTTTTAAAAACCCAGGAAGACTTACTACAGTGTGCTAGTTTGAAGATGAATTTTACCTGTGAGTATGGCTAAGGTACAAAGGATTCATATCAGCAAATAATCAGGTAACAACTACACAATTAAATACTGTATTTTAGATATTGGAAAAGTTTGGCTTTCACAAGGTGAAAATCTAGTGCTCAGACAAGGATCTTACCACAGTTTGTAGAGGACTTCATATCATGTCATCTTTTGACTTCAGTACATTAAGGTCCTTGGAGATGTTGTCATACAAATAGCTTAGTGTGCATAAGTAAATTAACTGTGTTCTTTCCTTAGGCACATGCCAGGACATACGAGCAGAGAGGTTTTGGTGGTCCTCAGCAGTCTGACAACATGTGATCCAGCCAACATCTATGATCTAATTAAGGTACAGAACTGAAGTTTGACTACTGCATTGAACATCCAAGCTGCAGGAGGAAAAACAGGCAGTAGCAGTGTTATCACCCATTAATTTTTGTTTAAGACTTAGAACCTTTTTACTATTTCTTGTTTTGCACATGAATTGAGTGTGCTTTTTTTCTCTATTTTAAGTGTTTAAAAGCAGTAAAGATCAGAGTATCTGTCATCGGCCTAAGTGCTGAAGTTCGAGTTTGTACAGTACTTGCCCGAGAAACTGGTGGTATGTATCTGAAGTTCAGTAATTTTATTACTAACACAGGTTTAAAATCAAAATTAAGTAATATTTGTTACTGCATTTTGACATTTTTAAGGATAAATATTTTCCGTTGTGCTGGCAGAAAATTAGAGTTGCCCAAATCTACAAAATACACAGTAGTAAGTGAAATTACTACCAGCTGGTAGCTGCAGCTCTAGAGAGAAGAAATACATATATTTTCAAACCTTGTGTTCCATATATAAAGTTATGTCATATGGAACTTGATTAGTGTAACATGTTAATATCCATTGCTACAGTGGTAACACTTACAGTATCATTACTACAGTGTAATGTTGGAGAAAAAGATCTGTGCCTTCATACTTAATTTAACATTCTGTTATTACTAGTTTTAAAACGTCATTTACTGTAGCATTAACAGGGCTGTTTTTTAGGAACAGGTTTGGATAAACCTGTTTTCTGCCATTTGGACTGTATGTTTGTATTTGTGTTTTGCTCATAACCTGACATTAAGGCATCTGTTTGTCTGTGACAGGAACATACCACATTATTTTGGATGAAAGTCATTATAAGGAACTGCTGATGCACCATGTCAGTCCTCCACCTGCCAGTTCAACTTCTGAGTGTTCCCTTATTCGAATGGGTAGGATATGGTTTTGTCAAACTCCTAGCGTGAGATTTTGTCTTTTTCTTTATTTGCCTCTTCTGTGTTAAGGAAATACAGATAATAAGATGCGTAATAAACACATTGTGCAATTTTTTTGTTGTTTTAACTTTTATTTTGCTAGATAAATATAACTTCTATTGATGTTATTCCTGCAGAGTAGTCAGCTTTTAAATAAAGTTTGTTAAGTAAGACAAATTACAGAACAGAATTTGGAAACAATGAAGTGGAACAATATTGATGGCACAGTATTTGTTATAAATTTAATACTTAGAAATGAAGGATGAAAAACTATTATTTTTCCCTCTGCTTTTTCCCTGCAGAAGGTAACTGTTACAACTATTAATTGATTTAAGAACCATAGGTAGTACACGTTTATTAGCAACTTTTGAGTGTTCTTTCAAGAAATAGATTACCTTTTCTTTTCTTGATCTGTTTCTCAATAAATTTAAGCTTGGAGTTACACCAGAATAGGAACTCTAATGCTAGAAAGTAGAGCATTGGGTTCTCACTTTCATCCACCCTTTCATATATAAGAATGTATGTATTTTTATGTCTAGATATAGACAATGAAAAGGTTTACTTCTCCGGTAAAGCCTGAGCAGTAGTTGGAAAAACCAACTTCTCACCTATTATCATCTGTAAAAAATAAATGATAGAAAAAAGAAAGAAAGATATCAGTCTCCAAAAAGTCCTGTAGTCTTATCTGTCATATATTGCACTTAGAAGGTGAATATAGGCTGGATGGATGCATATAAAAATATTTCCCCTTAGTTAGAAACTGTTGTTTAAGTGAACATTTGTATGCTGCTCATTCTGCTTTCTTACCATTTCACAAATTTTACTTTTTAACTGTTCTTCTAAAATGGGGTTCCAGTGCACTTCAGTTAACACAAATTCTATGGCAAAGACATTTTTTCAGTTGGGGGGAAGTAAAGTCAGGGAGGTGTGGGTGTAGGTAGAAACCTTTGGGAAGAATTTGATACTAGCAAGAGTGTATCAGTTCTCTTGTATAACAAATGAGAAAGAGATAGGCCTGAAAGTCTAGAATGATCTTTGAACTTCACTGAAGTAAGAAACTGACACATTATTGCATGTTTAAAATTGTTATTATGGGATGTTTTTCTCTTCAGGTTTTCCTCAGCATACTATTGCTTCTCTGTCTGATCAAGATGCAAAGCCCTCCTTTAGCATGGCGTAAGTAGCATGGATTAGAATTCAATGAGCTGATAAGAATTCAGTATTAACTAGTCATATTTAGAAAATTTGCTTGACAGTGAAAGTATTGCAAAATAATCTGAAAAAAAGAGTAAGCCATGTCTTGTGGCTTCTCAGCAGACATTTATTTCCATTGGTAGCTCCAGTATTAACAGTATCCTCTGTTAAATATGTGTTCTAAAATTTGCATTTAAGTTTTTTTAAGGTAGTAAATGATACTTAGTTCTGTTGCAGTGACTGGGGCACACAGGTGGTACAAGGTGTTAAAGTAATTACTTGCAGCTCATGATTTAATTACTACTGTCATTATAAAAGATATTTATGAGGATGGAAGGATATTATCTGAATAAATTATTTTTAATGTATTTCTTAACATGACTTTAAAGGGAAGTTGAAAATAGAGGCCTCATTTGATGACTGTGCACTTCTCAGTGAAAAGAATCATTGTTTTGCAGGTCATAGGAGAGTCTGAATTTCAGAATGAAACGGCATCTAACAGCATGTGCTATTATTAAAGAATAATTACTATGTGCATCTTAGAGGCAATAGAATATTTTTGTTTCTAAAAAGAAACAAGCATGCAGTTATTGCTCGTTTCTTTATTTTTAAAGATTGGCTCCTTTATATGGAAATATTTGGTCTTTGGTTCCTGTGGGAAAATGCGGTCACTGATATCTGTCCATATCAATTGATTTCTGACACACATTAAACTGTTACATGCAATCTAGTGAAGCTTTTTAAATTATTTGATGTCAAAACAACATTATTTGTACTTACGTAGTAGCATGGTATCATTTCTTAAGTATTGAATTGTTTCTTTCTACTGTAGGCAATTGGAAAATAACAGTGACCCAGGTCTTACTCTAGGTGGATATTTTTGTCCGCAGTGCAGAGCCAAATACTGTGAGCTTCCTGTGGAATGCAAAATCTGTGGTAAGTCACAAGAAGAGATGAGCAGATGAATCAGCAGTTCATGGTTAGAGACTTAAGGGGAAGAAAAATTCAGCTATACTTAGTAATTAAAAGCCAGCTCTGCTTTAAGAGTCCTGCATTTCTGTGACCTGGGATGTCAGCTTTGTACAAGTGTCTCTCAGGACTATACCTGTAACAGTAAAGCTTTATCATATTCCTTGGTATAAGGAATATACCTAGGACAAAGTGGGGAAGAGAGGTGATGCACATGGGAGTGGTAACTTCTCAAGAATCCTCGTTTAAACACACCCATGTTTCAAAGTCCTCAGTGCGAGGCCATGAAAATAGAGTGCTTTGGAGCAGGAGGACAGAAGTACTCTCCTCTCCATGAGTATATGGGTGAAAGATTTCCAAGTTGAACCAAGGGCAGGCCGTAGAGTTGTAAACAGGAGCCTTTTGGTCTTGCAAATGTTAATGCGCTGTGCAACCAATGATGCCTCCCTCCATTGCTCTTAGTGAGGGTGGAGGGAGGATTAGTGTGGTTTATAATATTAATATTGTGAGGGGGTGCTGTTCTCCTAACTTCCACAGGCTTATGACTGAAACACAATAGGTATTACCAGGATGTGTGTATTTGAGGATGAAATAATTGTGGTTTTGGGTCACTTTATCCTCGTTTAATTTCAAGTTTTTCCTACCAGTGAGACCATGCGATTCATTCCAGCAGAGGGATCGTGTAACTGGAGAAATCCTGTGTATCTGCAGTGCATTCTCCACAGCTGCAGTGATCAGGAGAACAACAGTTTGGACATTTACAGTACGAGTGAGTGAGTGAGTGAGTGAGTGAGTGAGTGAGTGAGTGACACATTTGTGCCAGCCCATGCCCCACCTGTTCTCCTGGGCTTATCCCAGCTGGCAACTTAGCCCCACACACTTCCACACACTGGTGAGATGGGGGAGAGAATCAGAAGAGTAAAAGTGAGAAAACTCACAGGTGTTGTTAAAGGCAATTGAAAAGTTCCAGCAAAAGCTGTGCACACAAGACAAGCAAAGTAATTGATTTACCACTTCCCATCAGCAGAATCTCCAGGAAAGCAGGACTCCCATCATGGGTAAAAGTTACTTGAGAAAGTAAAAGCCATCATCCCCAACATTCTCCCCTTTCCACCTTCTCCACCCAGCTTTATAGGCTGAGCATGATGCCACATGGTATGGGATATGCCTTGGTTCTCTTGGTGCACTGTTGACTGCAATCCTGACTGTATCCCCGCCCTATGCCTTGTGCACCCCCAAGCCTACTCCCTGGTGGAGTAAGAAACAGAAAGGGCCTTGATCGTGTGTAAACACTGCCCAGCAGTAAAGAAAACATTCCTGCCTAATCAACCCTGTTTCCAGCATAGATCCAAAACATAGCCACATGATAGTTAGTGTGACAAAAATAAACTGGTTTAAAACCAGCAGACTTGTGTTAGCTGAAATGGGGCTGTAGCATGGTTTTGGCAGTAGTATAGCAAGCTGTAGTAGGGCTTTCTAACAGGGGATCATTTTTGCTGGTGGTGATACAGCAGAGCTATCATAGCCAAAAGGAGCTTCCTAGCTTCACCACTGTGTGTTGTGAATGTCTTTCTAAAGGCTGAGTTAAACCTTTCCAGTAGAAATTTGATCAGTTTTCTTGTTCTTTGTGTTTGGATTTAAAACTGGATTCAGGTTTGGCCAATGGAACAAGTAATTTTACTTTTTAAAGTTCTTAGAAGCTCTCAACCACTGAGTAATTAAAAATATTATTTTTCCTTTTTACTTTATTTGATACAGAAAAGCTTTTCAGTAAATCTTCCCTTGTAACAATTTTGGTGTCTCTTTGTTTGCAGGTCTTACATTAGTGTCTGCACCTCACCTGGCTCGGTCTTACCATCACTTGTTTCCTTTAGATGCCTTTCAGGAAGTTCCACTGGAAGAATACAAAGGGGAACGGTATGCAAATCTTACTTCTGATAATGAGTGTACTTGTGGATCCTATAACTTTTTTATCACAAAAGTAAGAACAGCTGGCAACAGCTTCTTTGCTGCTGGAGATCCCGGGTGTTTGGGTGCTATGGGGCACCTTGGCATTAAGAGATATTTGTAGTTTCCATGATCTGTGAGTTCAGTTGAATAGCTGAAATAATTGCCAGAAATTGTTACTATATATGAGATCTTTTTTAAAACATTGATTTACACAGTCCTGACTCTTCTTTTTTCATGTAAAATATAAAATTTTCTTTTAGGTATTGTCAAGGCTGCCAGGGAGAAATGAAAGATCAAAATGTAAGTATGTTGAATGGCATTGTAGTTTGCTTTGAGGAATGTGAGAAATAGAGATGATCCTTTAGCATTATATTCTAAAGACCAGAAAAATAGTTGTGAAAGTTAATGTAATGGTTAACTAGAGTTATGTGTTAAACAGTCACACTTTCTAGACTGCAAAGTCTGTAGAAATGTGGGAAGGAATTTCCTAGGGAACTGCATTAAAAAAAAGCTTCCACTCTCAGCCATTTGGAAGCATTTACAGTGACCTGAGCTCAAGCTTGCAGATACACTTGCTGTCAGAAGCTTTAATTCAGCTGAGTTTCTGTGATGCTAGCAGTGTAGTCTGTTTAGATTATCTTAATGATGTACGTGTTGCCCTACTGTAGTGCTATGATGATAATTTTTGCTAATTTGACTTGTCTTTCTATCCTTCTTACACAGGTGTACATATGCAAAGTGTGTCAGAATGCATTTTGTGTGGAATGCGATGTGTTTGTTCATGATGCGCTGCACTGCTGTCCTGGCTGTATTCACGAGCACCCTGCTCCTGTATCTGTATGATCTCTTATCATTTTAAAAAGTGCTGTATCCTTGTCATTCTTGCATGAATCTAATTAGTTTATTCAGCCATCCCTTTAACTGACGCATCTCTGAACAAGAAGATGATTACAGAGGGATGAACAGTGGAGTAGGAGCAAATGTTAATTTTCTTATTATTTTATTACTTTTAATATATACTTGAATTATCTGTATCTATTTTTTGTTGTTGTCTAAAGAACTATGGCTTTTTTTAGCTTTTATTGTAATAAAGTGTATATTTGTAAATGTGAAAGTGATAAAACTGCTTTTTATGATAATGTGATGATTCATCTTCGTTTCATTACTTGTTCAAAAAGAAGCATTGAAAATACATGTTACACATCTGTTGTTACAAACTTCTGGTTTTGGCGGATGGTGGATTTCTGTAGATCTGTCTTGGTTTGAAAAGACAGATGTTTGCTAAGGAAGGCAGGAGCCTCTCTTGAAAGGGAAAATGTAAACCCCCTCCCTCTGAATTATAATTTTGAAATTATTGGGCTCTCAGGCAAAGATATGGGAGTAGGAATAATAGTTCTTTATTGGGAAAAATAAAAAAAAGCAGTAATAAAAATCCACTGAAGGGGTCAGAATATGACCTGACACCCTGTGGGTCAGGGAGTTGGTAGCAATCCAATTGAATGGTGGCTGCAGTCCTCCTGGAGTGACAGGTTTGATTCTGTTGGAGCAGTGACCCTGTAGAAGGGTGCAGTTTTCCTCTGACAGTCCAGTGGTGGTGTAGATGGGCCTGTATACTTCTGGGAATTCAGAGGGAAAAGGCTGCTGTGGTGTTTGGGATCTCAGATGATATCCAGATAGTAATGCTTGGCTCCTTCCCCTGGGCCAAGCATCTCCCAATGGGATGATGGAATTCTATCAGTCATATGGTGAGACTCAATCACCCACTAACAGGATATTTCCTGGAGGGAGGATTGGTAGTGGAAGAGATAAAGAAAACTTCCCAATTAACAGAAGATAACTGCCCCACTTCTAGCAGATGGCAATAGAATACACACCCCCAGCCACATCTTGCATTTGCAACCTAAGACAAGATCAAAGTACTCTTTTGCAAGAATTTAAAAGATGTTTTTGAGCAATTAATTGATGGACATTTAATGTATTAGTTCCAAGTACTGAGTATTCACCTTGGCATTTGGTAAGGCAGCTCAAATACAGCTGTTACAAATGTGCTGAAAACATATTTTAGGTTGTAATGGTGCAAATCAAAGCTAACTTAATTCTATTACTCCTGTGTCTGCATTAAGTTCCAGGGTTTTTTTTTTTTTTTGGAGGGTATGATTGCTGAAAGGTAGTGAGCTTGGAAAAGGGCAATACCTGAATTAATACAAACTATTGTTTGGTGGACTCAGTATTGAAGACAAAAAGACACGCTGTTTGGTTCTGAAGCCACACTGAACTGACAGTACTGCACGACCTCTTCTCTCCTTGGCTAAACCCCTGGAGCAACAGACAGTAAGGTGGGTGCAGGAGAGGAAGTGTCCATCCTTACCTGTACTTTAGAGTAGAAATTGAGGCAAATGCAAGACTGCTATTTTGCAGTGTATGTTCAAAGTGTGTTTGCAGTTTGAACCTGTGAGAATTTTAATGTGCTACATCTCAGCAAAAGGAATTTACATGTGCAGTGTCTGAAGCAATACATCACAATGGGTTTTCTTGAGTCACCTTGTGATGATTGTAAATACAGTGAATGAGTTGCTCTGAGTGTGTATGACTTAATCTTTGAGCTTTGCTTTTTGTCAGATTAGAAATAGCAATACAGCAGCTGAAACTTAACACAGAAACAAGCAAGAAACCCAAACCTCTCCTCTTATGTTAGTTCAATTTTTCATGCTCACCTCATATAAATTATACATGCTACTTTTCATTTAGGCAGTTTTCATTAAATTGTTAGTAAGCTGTTTCTATGCTTTTTTCTACTGATAGGGCCTCCATGCTGGATAGAGTGCAGTCATTCTCTTGTGTTGTCAGAAAAATGACTGTTGAGCTTCTGCATAGCGTTTTGTCCTGAGTCAAACAATCCCTATAAACCCTTTGTGCTGTCAGGTGATTTCTTTGAAATGGAGGAATTAAGATTGAGCGGTGTATTGGTTCACTGAGGCCACTCTAGGTTTTTAAGCTACAGGTTGAAGTTCTTGGGATCTGCTAATTGCCTGTGTCATCTTGCTCAAATCTCACGTCTGTCTTGTCTAATGTTGACTTTCCCTCCATTTTTGTTGTAACACCTTCTTAATAGTTGCTATTGTCATTGTAAAGGCACCAGTCAATTGGAGTTCACAGCAATCTCAATTTGGCCAGTCAGATTTAATAATACACCTGTTGATACCATCTCTGCAGTTACCTTATCTCTTCTTAGTAAGCTAAAATCAACTTTTTATAACCTGTAGAAACCATGTTATTAAGGAAAGAGAGGTGATGATGAATATTTTCTAAAAGATACATATACTGTAACATAGTAGTCTTGTTTTTTTAAAAAATGTCAAAAAGATAACAATTAAATACATGAGCTGTATCTTTCTGCTTCACACTGATTCCCACATGTAGTCTTTGGTTTTCTCAAGTTAGGCCAATGCATGGAGACAGATTTCCAGGATGTCCATGCACAACTGCAGAAGAGTTAAAACTCTACTATAAAAAATGAATATGATAAAGTCCTTTTTGTCCTATACATCTCTTTCATCGTGGTCTTTGACAGAAATGGCAACTGCTGCTTTTTTTTCACATACCCTTCCTTGTTCAGTCTAGTGTGCAGTGTTTTTGCTGTGGGTTAGTTTTATTTACCATAATGGTTAGATGTACCCCATGTGAACAGTGCAAGAAATTCTGTCCCCCTTTTGAATGGTGGTTAGATGTACTCCATGTGAACAGCACAAGAAATGCTGTCCCCCATTTGAATTTGCCCTGAGCAAAAGTGTGGGTAATATTTCAAAGTATGATGTCCGTGTTCAGAGGTTGCAGAACCCAGCAGAAACACTTACAGGTATAGTGTGCAGGATGCAGTCCTGTGAGAGATGGCTGTTTTATGCCAGGAGAGCAAACCATGATTTACTTGCCAGAGCTGGGCTTTTCTTCACAGGTAATTGAAAGCAAAGCTGGGAGGCACTGTTGATTTATAGAATGGCACAAGTCTACTTACAGCACTTGAATGAGTACAATTTTATTTTCATGTATCATTTGGCAATACACTGTATCCTCCGTAAATGCTCTCATCCTCATGATGAAGAATACAGGCAACTCACTTGATCCTCAGGCAAAAACTGTTCTACTTTATCATTCTTGCTGTGTTTCCTGCACCTTGTCTTGTTCTAATGCAGTATTTTTTTGAGTTGAGGGCTCTTCTTTCAAATGCACTGTTTAAGATGTGGATCAGTTATGGGTTTTTACAGTGACATAATTATATTTTTTCTGTTTATTAGTCTGTAACAGATGCCAGGCTTACAGATACAATGTCTCTTCCTCTAGCCCAGAGGTGCAGACTGCTCTTGAAAAATGGGCAATATATTTTCCCCATTGAGCCATAATTGCTTTGATTTTGGATCTACCTTCTGCTATATGCTCTCCCCTTTTCTGATTTAGACAATGCGAATCTCCCTGAATTTGTATGGAGTAGACATTAATAAAATTATTCCAGAGAGTGTTACTTCAAATCCTCTGCAATTGTACTGTCCCTTTGGAAAGGTTCCTTTACAGCCTGGTTAGCAGATGGCTTTGCAAGCTCTCTTCACGGACTTTTTATTCCTGCTATCTGGAAGGTGGTTTAAATTACTTTAGCTGTTCTCATTTTATTTTTTTACCGAACCTGATTTTATTTTACTCACTTCATTTGCCAGGAGTTTTGAGCCTTTTTTCTTTGTTAGAAATGCTTCAGTTTTTTGAATGATGCTTTCTGTCATGGTCAGAATGGGAGTTTCAGACAAAGTTTATCACGGAGACCCTACCATTGAGACATGAAGTGCAAAAAGGACCTGCTTACCTTCTAAACTCCTTCTGAGAAAGAAGTTCAGGTGTGGCTGGATCCACCCTCAGCCCCAGATTTTGTTTGTTTTCCAGTAAGCCCAAGATGCTAGCAATCCAGTTCTGCCCCTGCTTTTGAGAATGTGACAGCAGGCCAATGATTTCCTAACTAATCAAGTATCTTCGATTGCAAAGGCAATCTCACCTTGAGCATCTTTGAGGATGGAGGAGTCTGACCAGCCTTTTTTAAAAAACTTGGCTTGCAGAAGCCCATGTGGAAGCCACTGCTCTTACTAAGTTTGAGCTGGATAGCTGTATTAACACAGGACAAGTAAAAGATTCACTTTCCAATGCAAGTGGGACAGAGGTTCAGTACAGTCCTGGTGCCTAGCTAAAATCTTGTCTTGGCTTTCCAGTAGGAGAGTAATGCAGCTGAAAAATGAGAATGGCTTTTGCATAAGTTGTGACAAGGAAATTGAAATGAAATTGCCCTAGCCCTCTCTGAGGTGAAAGTCAGAGCAAAGAGTGGCAAGGAGGGTATGTTTTTAGCAAGGATTTATCTGGACTCTTACTTATCTGCCTGGTGTTACTAGGAAAATACCACTGAATCAGGTCTCATAAAGCAGATGTGAGGAGGAGCCTGTGTTCAGGTCCTTCTGAGAGGGATGAGCTGAATGCATGTCCTCCACTAGAATCAGAGGTGCTCAGAACCTCTGAAAGCCAAACACGGTCCACCTGCAAAAAACATGTTTAGAGGGAACAGGGGAAGGATGAAATGGATTGCATTTTAAGAATGGAGGATTACCCTTTGTTTCTGCCCTGCCCCCCTCCCCTTCCTTTCCTGTGGGTTCCTTGAGTTTGTCAACAGAAAATTCCTTGTATCTCTCAAGTACTCATGAGACCTCTTACATCCTCTCTGGAGATGTAGTTTGTGTTTTCTGTTTATCACCTTTGTAAGCTACTGAGTTACAGAATAAACAACAACACCAGGGGCAGACCTGAGAAAGGAAAGCAAATAGTAACCTATTGCCCAAAATATAAATTTTAATGGATTTTTTTACTTGTGTCTGCTGCTGTCACTCCTTGGCACAATATTCAGGAAATATATAGTTGTTTAATCTTTAACAGGAAAGGTCATCTTGTCTCTGAAGCATAAAATTTTGCTGTTTTTCCTAATCTGAAGGAGCCATTCCTTCCTGCAGGGTAAAACAATAAAGTCTGCAGCCAAACTGATGGTTTAGCAGTGTCTACACCTCCTGTACCTCAGATGCTTCCCATTTATCCCGTGAGTGCAAGATAACAGCCTGTTAGAAGTAGGTGAATTTAAAGGAATTTCAAATGTAAAAAAGTGTCTGAGTAGAGAGGACACTGCTTCAGGATATATTAAACTTCTGTTTGTATACTTTACAACAATTGCAAATTGTCATTTTTAATAGGTATTACTTCTTCCTGTTTGTTTTATACACAACTCAAAATGTCTTGCTCCTCAAACTGTATTCAGCCTGCTTACATACTAGACTTTGCTGAGACCTCTATTGAAACGCCTTCTTAGTTCCCCTTCTACAAAGCAATGGAAATTACAAAGAAATAACCAGTGGAAAAATAGGCTGACTTAAAATAGTTTCGTAAATTTGTTTCTAGTTATATTAGCTTATATGCCCTAGCTGTTAAAACTCTTGTATTTTCCAATGTTTTTCGAATGTTATTCTTTTCTAGTATAGTCTTAAAACTACCATGTTATGCATAGGCCAGGGAAAATGTTTTGGGGTTTTTTTTCTGCAAACAAATGCCAAGTTTGTCATATTATCTTCCTTTATTTTTTACATACATTTCAGTATATATAGTGACTTAATTACAGGAGTCACATCTTGTAAGTAGGGTGACCATAATGCAAGGCTGGAAAGCTCATGTGATGGTACTCAGGCCTGAGATTGTTATGCTTGGTGTCTCAATCTCTGCAGAGCTGATCTGATGTCTGATCTCCAGTGGCTGCACAAGTGGGTGTTCTATTTGCTTTGTTCTGTAAGAGTGGTATTTGAACACTTGTAAACACACCAGTATCTTATTCTACTAGGCATTGGTATGCCTGCTAGAGTATCCTTTATCAGATAGTCTCCTCAGTTTGAGTATCACAGTGCTCAAATGTGTAGTGTTCAAAGCTGTACTATTTTTTTCAACCTAGCAGCAACAACCTTTATTTTTAATGTACCAGACCTCAGCTTCACTGCTTATTTGTTCATGTTTCATATAGCTTTAGAGCATCTTTAAATCCTTGATGCCTGTTTGATTTTGCAGTGAAAGTAGCAAACTATGGAGGCTTCCAGAAGCTTGGAAAGCTGTTAGCAAATCACTATATTACAGAAATTCCTTTAGAATACTTTGTAATATGTCTGCTTTAAAAGAAGTAGCCATTATCTTCTTTTGAAGATAATGGAGCACATCGGAGCACAGCCAGAGCAGCAGTAATGGTGGCTTTTCATCACTGCTCCTTGATTGTCCGGTCCTGTGACAATAGCAGTGGTGGGTTGGCTCCTTGACACATAGGCCCTTAAAATGTCTAGTATCATGATGGAGGATCCCTAGTGTAGGAGTTTAAAATTACCTTGGCAATGGGTTTTGCCCCTCTCACCGATTTTTCAAGCCTAGAAAAGTTTGAAAGTGTTAGGGTTTGGGTTTTTTTTCCCCTGTCTTCTTGTGTTATTAACTATACATCCCCATTGCAAATAACCATTGTCCTGGTTCCAGCCAGGATAGGGTTAATTTTTCCATCAGCCAGGAGAGGCCATGACTAGGAATCCGAGATTATTCTATACCACATCACATCTTTGATGGGGATGGGAGAAGGAACCTTTCCAGGAAACATCCTGGGAGTGGCCAGCTGTTGTTGGGAATTCTCAGTGTAGTCAGCACTCATGTGTGAATCACTTGCCTCTTTCTTGTACATACTTTTGTTAATATTCTATCCAGTTGTTTTGCTTGCAGTTAAATCAATTACATGAATAATTTGTTTAAAACATAAGCCCCTTTACTGAACTCAGAACTGCAGTAAAATTGTTGTATGCTAGATTTTACAAGTGTTTAAAACTAATGAAGGCCACTTTTTCTAACCATACCAGGCACCAAGACAACTGATTGAAGAGTTCTATCCTCTTCAGCAATCTGAAAAGATTATTTAGAACCTTTGCTTCAATGCAGTCAGTCTTAATTTACATCACCTAGACAATTAAAAAAAAAAAAAAAGCTTTCAGAGTAGCTTAGGTAAGTTATGAATAAGTCTGGTTTTGCTCAATTACTTGTGGGAAAACTGAATTTTTGACACATGACCACAGTAGGAAAAGGAAGTGAATGCAGTAAAGTTCACACCTGTATTTCACTAAAAAGCAAACCACTGGCTTTAACTAAATTACTGCCTGGTTTTGTGGCTGCAGCCTCTACTAAGAGTAGAGCAGAGTAAAATTCAGCCCTGCATTGTAAGGGCTGAAACCTACGTCCACACTTATTTCTCCACAGGCTTTCCCTATTTTGCTTTCAGTAATGGAACTCAGAAAAAGGCAACACATCAAGGTTTTCCGCTGTATTTCAGCCATTCATCCAACCAAGAGATGCCGATGGAAGCTCCAAACAAAAACCACCCCAAAACAAATTACATCCCTAAACTCAAAGTTTAAGAAGTAGAACTTTATTCACACATTTGAAACAAGACAACAGCCTTCCTGAAAAAAGCTGTCATATTTCATGGTTCTAATCAGACCTGTAAGATGTCCCTCCTACTATGACAGTACACTGTTTTCCATGCCAGTGCCACCAGTGGCCACTGTAACACACATTGCTGCCATAGCTCTCTCCTAAGAGGATACCATAATCAATTGTTCTGGTGCTGCCACTCAGACAAAGTCTGAGGAATGCAAAACATGTTGAGAGATATAAGAAATCTATCACATGGGGTCAAAAGAGTTAAATCTATCATGTGGTAAGAAGACTTAAAACTGACTCAGGGAAATAAAAAGTATTTTGTTGCTGCAGTGTCGCCCTGATTTTGTAAGACTTTGTTAAGCCTTCTGATGTTTACATTCTTTCAACAAACTTTCTCACACACAGTTCTGTAAATTACCTATGTTTTGCATTCTTTCATGGAGGTGGAGAGAATTGATGGACCCTTGGTCTGTCCAGTGGCATTGGAGAGGTGGCACTGTCACCCTCCAATCCACTGTCACCTTTGGAAAACTATAAATGTTGGAGTCAGAAAATAAAGTTTTTCTTTTTTGCTCCCCTCGAGAGCAGCAGTGTCTGTGTCATCATTTCGTGCCTTATCACAACACTGCAGTACTTTGAAATACATTTGACTAGAGGTCTTTAAGAAACAGCTCATTTAAATGCACATCTGATTGCTAGTCTGAAGTTATTTATTTGTTAACAGGGACAGGTCAGTGTTAAAAAAATTAATTAATTGTCTTGATAAAATTCAGTTCTTCACCATCAACCACCAATGCATAAGTGTTACACACCTCTCAGTGGAAAAGATCTGTACCTGGCTTTAAAAAAGAAGCAAAAATAAGTATAAAAGAGCCTTTTTGTTTTAAACACACAAAGAACTACTAAATTACACAGAAATTACATGTTGTCAGAGAAAATCAGAAAACAATTCCCCAGGAGAATATAGTTTTGTTTTATAAGGAAGTGAACAATACACTGGAGAATTCTGGACAAAACATTTCAAATAAAAGCATAGATACTGAAGTACTGAGAACAGAACTGCTCAACATTACCAAACTGAATTTGTCCTGAAAACAAAGTTTAGCTACAACCCTCCCATCTGTGTAAGGAAACACAGATGAAAAAACTGCATTTCACTTACAACCTTTTATTCCAAGAACAGCCCACTATGAACCATTAATAATTCAAATAAACTGCACTGTTAATTGTGATGTAGACAGATGCCGTAGTTAAAACTCTCATCAGAGCAATGAATACTTTCCTTCATTCTAGCTACAAAAATACAATTCCACAGCTGCAAAGAAGGGATTACTACTGGCAGAAGTAGTCTTTTCAGAGAGCCGTAAGAATGGATGAAGTCCCAAAGACAAGAGGTTTCTGAAGGGAGTTCAAAACTTGACTGTATCTTCATTTACCCCAAAGCCGCAATACTTACAATCCCTCAGAACAATGGTTCGTACGTGGTTACTTGGCATGTGTTTGTCTCTCCAGCGCTGCTTCCATCCGGCTTTGTTTTAAACCCTACAGGATACAAGTTAGTAAAATCTTGGTTTGGCCAACGTGTAAATAAAAGCTTTAGTTGCAGAACAAAAATATTTCTGGACAATCTTTTTCAGTCCTCTACAAATCACAAACAGTTTTAAACTTTCTTTGGAAATCAAAATGGGCAGTTTAGAAACAATAAAAGCCAAACAACATGCCCTCTTTATAAACAGAGGTTATAAAAAATAATTTCAAATATATACTTGTTCAATTGAAAGTAAATTAAAGCAATCCACAGTTATATGTAATCTGAAGCACAAAATCCTCCTTTTCCACCTTCCTCAGTGCAAAGAATTCATCACATCATTTTCTTTCTTCATAAGTGCACAGATGAAAATATGAATCAATAATACAAGTCACAGATTTTTCACAAGTACGGTGACAGTTTCTACTGGACCTTCACAATGACATGAAACAATTATTGATGAACAATGTCTGCAAAAGTGACAAATCTGATCTACCACCCATACTGAAAAAAAATATGTAGAAGACTACTGAAAAATAATTGTATTTACTCCATGTGTCTACAAAGACAGAATTGGTAGTTTTAGAATGGCTGTAAAACAGTGGCTATAAAAGTACCTGACATGACCCCTCCAGTTGAACAAAGCACTAAAACATCAACTAAATATATATATATATATATTAAACTATAACTATATATATATACATATATATAACTATATATATATAGTTATATATATATATGCTGGCTCATGTGAATTCTACTCAACTCAGTATTTACACAATACAAAACAACCTTAAATGTAGCAACAGTAAATCAGGATAAAAAAGCAACGCTCCCTGCATGGCTTCTTGCTGGAAACAGGAGCACCAGCAGCAGTGCAAAACTACCAAGACACTTCAAAACCACAGCAGCACATACCAGGTAATATCCAGTGTGGTAACCACTCATGTACCAGGATATCAGCATGCTCCCCAATGCTTCGTCGTCCTCAGCAGAGTCTGGCCTCATGGGTGGTGGAGGAGGAATCAACTAAGGAATCACAAAGGAAATGTCTGTGTTTCAATAGGGTATTTCCCAGATTAGAGAGCACCTAATTCTAAAAGATTAAAACATATAAATGAAAAATAGGAACATATGCTCAGTTTGTTCTCTGAATAGGAGTCAGAGATGCTGCTTCCTGAACACATGTAATTTCCAAAGCCTAGGAGAAACAAGACTCCTGTAGCTTCACAGGAGTACTGTACACAAAAAGTGTTACTACGGGAAAATACTATCTTCTTCAGTGAAATGTTGTTAACTTATAGTTTCTTTAAATAATTTATCCCTTGATATTCTTACCAACAGCTTCACCGTCACAGAAATGAGTGCAAAGCAGACCTTGTACGTTAGATTATCATTCTATTTGGAACTGAATGTGTCAACAAATACATGAAAAATACAGGCAAACAGAAAAATTGTGTTCTAAAACCACAGGGAATGAGCACATTCAGTGAGAAAACCTGAGATCACCAATACTCATCTTCCCTGTTATTTTGTCACTTACTGGTGGTCCTGCTGGGAAGGGCGGGGGCCAGCAAGATAAAAATGATGGAGGTGCCTTGAATTTTGATCCAGACTATGTAGAAAAAAAAAAAAAGAGGAAGAGTATAAATTAAAAGGGAATGTGGTGTATTAGCATTTTACTTAAGAGAATTATGTGAAACAATTCACGTCCTTGAACAACAGACAACACATCGCAGCAATTTAATGAAAATACAGACAAGTACATAATCACGAAAATAGCTATTTCTGAGGCACATTCCACAACTTGGGAAGTACAACTTAAGATTACTCATGTCACTCAGGTAAACACTGCTGAAACAGGGCTCTGGCTAGAAGCATTTCTAGAAGCATTTTCAAAAGGCTTTCCTAGGTGGAAGTCAATGGTCACACTCTCAACAGGAAGAAACAGATCAAACATTCACACAGGAAAATAGATAATGTCTCTGCTCCTATGCAGATGGGGCAAAAGTTGACTAAATTCCATTGTGCTAGTGAATGTCCTTAAATAAAGTCTAGACACGAATCTACTTACACAACAGAAAAAAGATAAAATAAAACCTTACAAAGAAATCTTGCACAAACAGTAATATTTAGAAAACATAATGCCATCTTTCAGAAAACAACTGCACTATTGTTTAGACTCCTACACAATAGGAAAACTGAAGGGTGTATCAATACCCCGTTCACTCCTAATTCAAGAGAGCAGCTACAGCTGAGAGGCTCTACGACACTGGACATCACCTTTAACGCCTTCAATGTCCTGTGAAGTGAAACATACCAATTGGCTAGAAAATGCAAAATCTTAAAACATCAACAGCACTGCCACTAATCTCACCACCAGGATCCAGGGAACAACATCCCTCTTTTAAGCTAAAAGGCAATTGGAAGCAAGTGTTAGCTAAGGACCAGAAGGTTCTTGTCACAGCAGCACTGCAGAAGGACTTCACTGTGGCCAGATAACTACAAGATGGCAGAGCAACAGATATTGACATGCATAATCTGTACATCCATTCTCAAAATGCTGCTAATTGAATTCTAGACAATGATAAATATCATATTGTCTCAGGATTCACAATAATACCACGCTTAGCAATGGTACATAAATTATTTCAATTAAGGTTGAGCTTACCCTTCCTAGGCCTGGGGCTGGTGGTGGTGGAGGTGGTGTGGGAAATCTCAAGCTTTGAGGGGAAAATCTTGCTTTTGTGCAGTTGTTTTTGTTTTGAGGTGACTGGGAAGATTTTTCACTTTCATCTGTTGAATATGGAGTCTCATTTTCATTCTAGAAGACAAAGACATTTTTATGACGTGCACGAAACAGGAGTCTACAAAAGCAATTTTAATAAGAAAAAGCTTGGAAAGTCTGATTCACATCCTTCCCTCTCTCCAGCCCTCCCAGTCCTACACAGGAATAACTTTATCTGCCCATTATTTTAGCCATGCTGTCTTTCACTGGTGGATTTCTTGTTGTCCACTTCCTTTCTTCCATGCTGAGTTCAAGAAGTAAAGAAGTTCCCTCCATCAACTTGTGTCTGTTTACAACAGAATTGTGCATCACTTCTCACTCTGAACACCAGCACTACCACCAGGCATACTACAAGAAGTTGATTCTCCCACCTTCCCAATTCTTTATAGAAGAGTAAAAGTCCCTCACCTCCCCAGAATGCCCCATCCCATTTACTGTTTCATCGCTGGCTGGAGGAAGTAAATCAGACAAGTTCTGCTCCTCCTGATTTCCATATCCTGTGTAAGTGACAACACAGGTGCCTCTCTTCTGGTTGATGGAGGCAATAGTTGCTAGATACAAATTACCATCCTCAGACCAAACAGCACTGCAGCTGTCACCAACTTTCCACTGCAACAGAAGCAAGAGAAGCATGTAAATACCTACACCGCTGGACAGAACCTATCTTTATCTAAGCTACTTTTTGTCCAGAAAGATGGATCCCACCTACAGTGTTTCCTTTGTATTTGCTGAAATTCCTCTATGTAACCTAAAGTTTATAATGTTATCACCCCACACCACCATCCCTAAATGTTACTCTCAAGGTGATGAAGCAGCAGCTTCTGAGTAGGGAAGTACAACACGCAGTACAAGCACCACTGGCATTTACAAGTGAGACGACCTGTTTCAAAGGCGTTGTATTGCTCTTGTTTCTATTTCTGTTCTTTTTATGGTTTTTTCTCTTTATCATCAGGCGCTGCTCCTGCTTGTCTGAAGGCTCCGAGCACTCCCCATTTTTTAAGGCATTCTTAGAGAAAAGAAAGGAGAAAACAAATAAATGCCGACCTCAGCGGCCTCGGCCCCAGCATCCAGGCACGGCCGCGCCGTACCCCTTACCTTGAAGGAGGCCACCGCCTTGTCGTACGCCTTGATGAGGGCCGTGTCGTCCCAGATGTCCGAGTCGTCGCTCTGCGGAGGCCACACACCCTTTAGCGCCATGGCAAGGCCCCGCTCCCGGCCCCGCTCCCGGCCCGCCCGCCGTTCCCACCTGCCCGGTGCCGCGCCGGAACAGCACCGCGTCCGCCATGGCCGCGCGCCCCCCGCCGCGCACGCGCCGGCCCCGCCGGGAAACCCGCCCCGCCGGGAAACCCGCCCCGGGCAGCTGCCGAACAGGAGCCAGCAGCGAGCCGGCCACAGGCGAGCGAAGGAATTGGTGCAGTGCTCAGTGCTGGGCTCCTCAGTCCCGGAAAGACAAGAAGCTGCTGGAGAGGGTCCAGCAAAGGGTCACAAAGATGTTTTGGAATCTCTCTTACGGTCAGAGACTGCAGGAGTTGGGCCTCCTCAGTCCAGGGAGAGGATCTCATCAAAACACACAAATATCTCGAAGGCAGGTGCCCAGAGAGGATGGTGGCAGACTCTTTTTGGTGGTGCTCAGTGACAGGGCAAGCAATAAAGGCCATAAACTGAAACACAACAAGTTCCACCTCAGTGGGAAAGAGAACTTCCTTACATTGGGGGTGGCAGAGCACTGGAACAGGCTGCCCAGGGAACTCATGGAGTCTCTGTCTCTGGAGTTATTCAAAACTCACTTGTGGCATGTGTTCCAGGTGATCCTGCCTTAGTAGGGGGCTTGGACTGGATGATCTCCACATCTCCAGTTAGATGGTCCCTTCCAACCCTAACAATTCTGTGATTCTGTGAATTTGCTTAACTTCTAACTACTGCAGGTGTTACATTGCCAGCACCAGCTACATCTTCCTTCCAGCTCTCCTCAAGCTGTGCCAAGGGCCTGTTACCAGTGAATGAATGTACTTAGACAGAACACAGTTTAAAAGGCAAAGGCTTCAAAATCTTTCTCTAGGGACTGGATCACTTGCAGAGGAACACATTCAGCGCAGGCAGTTTGGGGTGCAGCTGCAGTGGGAGCCCAAGGCTAGAGGCCAACCCACTGCACACCGAAGGGCACAGGCACTTGTGGCACCAGCTGGGGAACTGAGACACAGCAGGAGTCACCACCTACCCCTAGACTGTGAGGGTATAAAAGCCAGAGGTCCCTTTGTTTAGGTTCCCCTCTACAGAGGCACCAGGTGGAGGTGTGACTTTGTTATTGCATCAAGATTAAATTATATTGAACATCAGGATATATGACACTCTGCTATGGGAAACCTGGGGTTGAGATGGGAAGGAATCCTGGTCTGAATCTGAGTGTGAAGTGTGTAGCTGGAAGGGGCTTCATCCCCAGCTCAGGTGATGCGAATGTGGCCATCAGAGTGGCTCCTGGATGGTCAGACAGGAAGTTTCCTCAACAGTTTTCCCCTGGTCAGTATACAATATACTCAAGCATGGCTGTGAAGCAAGGGCCGAGTTTTTCCACACCAACTTTTATTCCTGAGGCAGGTTGAAGCAGTAATTTCAAATAATTTTAGGGGTGTGACAATTTCAAGATTTGCTTGCATTGGAACTCATTAACATCAAGCCTGCAGATTATTTAAGTTAGTATCAGGACTCGATTAAGTCACTTGTATACCAACAAAGTCTGCAAGTCAAGAGGTATTTTTTCCTATAGGGCAGACTTAAACTGTATGTAACAGTGCTTATAATATGCATTTCTTATAAACTTCACTTATACTTTTTATTGCACTTATGTTCTTATACTGCATTTCTCCACAAGATTATCCATTCCTTATGTTCTTGGTAACCTCTTAGAAATCAACTAATTATGAAGCATAACTTTCAGATTAGACAGTATTTCATGCAACATTTTATTGTAAAAATATTTTGAGATTTACAGTTCAGACCTCTGCAAGGTTAAGCACATTTTACAAGTGTGTTCCATTCTGAATGAAGCTGTACTTTCAAGAATTCAGGCAACCAAATCTGGTCTAACTGTAGATTCAGAAATTCTGTTACTGGAACCATTAAGTAAAACTAACAAATGCAGCAAAAGCTAGAATAAAGCTATTGCTTGGTACTTTTATTCACAGACATGCAGAAGAGTGTAGTCAGTTTTGAAAGAGCACTGTAGACAACTAGGCTTATAGTAACCAGAAAATACTCTAATGATAGTTGAACAACTCTGCATAATAAACGTTTAATCATTTAATGGCTGGACTCTTTTATGAATGATCTTCTAGGTCCTTCTGCTTCATCAGTGCACTCTTATCTTCTCCATAGCGGCAGCTCATTTTGCTCCTGCCTGCAGAGACTTCCTTTCATTAGCTGCTTTTTGCTTTTGCTGCATGATTTCAGTGTCCCTGTGAAGAAAAAACAGTTGGATATCAGATACTGGCTCACAATTTTTTTAAGCAGAATTCCTTCCCTGTAGTAACCCCCACCTGAAAAAGAAAAAAAGAATTTCTCAGTTAGTCACAAGCACAGTGTTTTGATTACTCTCTTTTTTTCAGTGCATGCATCACTCCATGAGGCAATTTACTTGATTAGTAGACCTCATGTAATTCTTTCGGTTTTGGAAGTAAAGGACATAATGGATCAAACATCTTCAAGAAAGCATTACACAATCTTTTCCTGTTTGCAGTAGGCAAAAAACTGGTCCAAAAAAAAAAAAAAAAAAGCTTTACAGGGTGTAATAAAAATACATCATCTTAATAGCAGATACAGCAAAATTTCATCAACAGTTTATGCTCTGGCAAGTGATTAGCCAATGGATAAAAACAAAGTATTCAAATGCTGTGTTAGCTAAGACACTGGATTCTTTCTGACCCATCTCGCTCTCCTTTTTCAGCCTAAACATTTACTCAACTTTACTAGATCTTACCTTTGTTTCCTCTGAGAAGCAGACAAGCTATCTTCTTTCCTCTTGCCTTTGAGGATCTCCTGAGTTTTCTTCAGGTTCTTTTGGCGAGCAAGTTCACGCTGGTTCCCACCTGCAAGACAATATACAGTTAAACAAGTACTACCACTTGTTTTTCCCCCACAGTGTACCTGTGCAAAAAGGTACACCTGCTATAAAGGCAGTACAGTCTGGCACAATGTGTAGAGGTGGTATGGTCATATCTTCTATATCAGCATCCTCTCCCAGCATACAACAGGAGAAATTAAAGTCTTATAGTAGTTACTTTTTCAATTCTATGCGTCATGTTCAAGAGATTACCAAAATCCTAATATTCCTTACAGAAACAAAATGTAGTTTGCCATAAAAGGCTGAAGGAAAGCCATCACACCAACAGGCTGAGCAAAATCATGTCAGTAACTCATCCAAAGAAGAATCATCCACTCTCAAACATATTCCAGCATTCAATATAGCTTACAAATTAATTTTAGACCAAAAGAACCGCATTGAAATTGACTGCACTCAAATACTATTGAAGAGATGACCTCAAAAGGTTTTTTAAAATTTGAAATAAAGTGCAGAATGTAAGCCTGGGCCTTAGCAACTCGGTGGCATTACTTCCAACAAAAGTGAAAAGAGTAACATTACTTTTATATGCATATAAAGACACAAACCCACATCACTGTCAGTAGAGAGGACACTTCTTAGGGGAACAGACAGCTTTCCCCACAACTATCAACACGACTGGAATGCAATCTCTTTGATCACACAAAGTTCCTGAGGGCCCAACATCAAAACTATCCATCTAAATATCAGGAGTCTTCCAGGCAATGGCCACAGACTGCAAACTCTTCTGCATTAGCTGGCAGTCTCTCCTCAGTATTCTCTTCCTTAGTTCTATTCTACTCCAACCTGCCAGACCTGGTTCACTGGCTTGGTACTTCTTGCTCTACTTCTTTTGGTCTGACAGTGTTCCAGATATGCTACGCATAATCATTTGTTTTGTTGAACTAACACAATCACATTATTTTATATTCAAAAATGACAATTCCATCTCTCCATAATTTCTGTTTTCTCTCTTTTTAGTCTCTCTACAGTTTTAAGACTGTCTATGCCTTCTTTCAGTCTCAATGCCAGAGATCTCAGTCTTGAGGTGCCTGTAAATTCTGGTCAACAAAAGCATCTTAGGACTAGGTCACTTTTAAACAACAACCTGCTGGTATGATCCACCACTTTGTACCCACACCATTTCTAAGCAAAGGTACCTGCCATGTCAACAAGTAGACAAGATCAACGCTGCAGAAGCAGAGGTTTGTGCATTCTTCACTACAGCCTATGGACTGCCTGGTAAGTAATGCCAGAAGCTCAAGTGAAAACAGCCCTGTATGACTGCTGCTTCCCAAGAGCTGCTCTTGTCTTGAAAGACAACTTTTGTCTGTGACAGGACATAAATACTACCTTTTGAAAAAGCTAAGAGAACTTATCATCCTCACTAGCATCCTGTCCCTGAAGTCCATCTAGAAGAAGGGCAGCTGTTCAGAGACTGAAGCAAATCAGCTGTCTCTGGCAGTACTAGTGTTGATTAGAACTTGATGACTCATGAGCAGATGACACATTCCAGGCCATAAATGGTTCCTGAGTTTTGTGGTGCTCAGGAGGCAAGAACGTTATATGAAGGACTGGGCAGCAATAAAAGAGCTCTTCTAAGGTGCTTTAAAAAACCCAAAAGGCCAAACCCAAAACCAGAAGTATCTTCTCTTATCATGAAGAAAACAGAGACAAAGTAAAAACGATCTGCTAAATCCAGAATTACCCTCCACCCCAAACCTCACTACTTCCTGATGAGCAGTTACTCTCCACCCTTGAACTCTGGTTCTTCCTTGTTTTCCAAGCAAACACTGAGCACGGGTTCTGCAGTTTTTCCATTCACATGGTAAGGTTTTAAATTTAGGAACAGAACTCAACTGTATCACTAAAAAGCAGCTGGCACAGCAAAGCAGAGAAGGCAGAAAAGCTGGGCAACACAGAATGCACACAAAGCATAGAACACCAAACAACAGTCTGAAGAAAAACTTACTTCTACCATCAGCGCTTCCAGGAAAACACTGTCAAGCACTATTTGGTCCCGTTACTTCATCTGGGATGCTGAATAAGTGTCCCCACCTTTAAGGGAACCACTGGTGTTGTCTACATTCTATAATATCAACCTAAATCTTCCATGAAATTGTCAACAGAAGACAATTCAGCTTCCTGAAATTCAAGCATGAGCTACCACAAAAAGAGCAGTACATGCTTCCTGGTTATACATTTCTATACATTCCTTCTCAAGCATCCCCATCCTGGCCTGCTTGTGCAAGACATACTCCTTGCTTCAACTTGTCCTTGCTCTTCCAACTCCAGGAGAAGAAAAATGCCAACAAAAAACCTACACGCGTTTCTTTATTATGTCTGTGCACAAACTGTTTACATGCCAGGTCTTCAGCTGCACTTCAGCAGCAGTGTGCCCTAGTAACTGTGTATTTTCGGGATGAATGTGAAAGCAGAGCCTCAAAACTGTGGGTTTTTTCGAGTGAGTGTGAAAGCACGGTCTCAATTAAACACAAGAAGTTTCTGTATCGCCAGACATAACAGGCACAAGGCACAGGAGCACTCCGAGCAGGCAGGGGAGCCGGAGCATCCTGGGTCCCGTTCAGGTCTCCGCCATTTTAGAGCGGCGGTACGAACACCGCTGCTCGTCAGCACGGTGACGATTTACCCAGTGCTCTCGCCCTTTCAACAACAGCCTCAACAACCACCGGTTTAACAGCATAGTAGTCAATGTTCAGCACTGATACAAAAGTCCTTTATTTCAGTCTGGGCGGCAGCTAGGACTGAAATGAAGTGTGGCTGTTGTTTCAGCCCATTATCACCTTAATTTCTCCCCCGGTGCCGCCACCACCGATACGCCAGAAGGCGGAGGAAGATGTTTTCGCCTACAGCTTCGGACGGCGGCAGGGCGTGGTAAAAAGCCTCCTCCCCACGCACTCACTGCAGACGAGATTTCGCTGGGGTGACGCAAAGTCCGTAAAGAGCCAGACGCGGCAGCGGCCACTCCCAGACCCCGGCCCAAGCATGACCCCCAGCCGGACTGCCCTCGGCGTCGCGCCCATGCCTGGAACCGACTAGGAGAGCGGCCCAAGTGTCACCACCCACTTCGCTACCCGACAGGCCCCAAGCAGCCCCCCGGTACTCACGAGTCATGGCGAGATGCCCAGGCCGCGCAGCACCGCTACGCCTCCCACCGCTACCGCCTACGAAGATACGCCAACCCCGCTCGCTCTCCCGGAACGCTTCGAGGCGCCGCCCGCCGCCCCTTATAGCGCCTCGCTCGCGCTGACGTCACGTCGCCGCGCGGATCCGATCCAATCAGCGGGACGCGCGCCGCTGACTTCCGCCCCGTGGGCGGGAGCCCTGGGACCTTCGTGCGGCGCGTCCGCCCGGCCCGGGTGTGAGCGGGAGGTGTTGGAATTTGCTGTAGCAGCCGGGGCTCGGGGGCAGAGCGGGCGCCTGGAGAGCTGCTGCGAGTCGCCTGAACCGGGGGCTGCGCGGCTGAGGAGCTGCTGGGGTCTTGCCGGCGGCTACGACGCCGTTATTTGTTACCCCGTAGAGGCCCCGCCTCCTGCCCCTCCTCTCCCGGTCTGCGCACGCTGATGACGTCGCAGGGCGCGCCGCCGGGGCGGCACGCCGTGAGCCGGCCGGGCTCGCGGCACCAGCGGGTCCCCGCCGCCACGCGCTGCTGACGCCGCCGAGCTCGCGGGCGGGCGCGCTTCTCCCGGGAGCGCCCGGCGCGCGCCTCTCCCGGTGGCGTCGCCATGTTCCGGCGGGCCCGTCTCACCGTGCGACCCAATGTGCGGCCCCCGGGCAGGGCCGCCGCCACCGGCGCTGGCGGCGTGGACCCGGACCCTCCGGAACCCCCAGGTTCGGACACCCCGGCGGCGGACGGAGCAGGGACCGCGGCGGGATCGGCGGACGCGCGGCGGGCAGAGAGGTGAGTCCCGTCGTGGCAGGGCAGTGTGTCGGGCCGCCGGCGGCACTGGGCCGCGGATCCCCGGGAGCCGGACGGGGCTGTACAGGGCGGGACCCGGCGGATCCCAGCAGGTGGCGGTGGCTCCGCGTAGCGCTGGCTGTCGTGGCCTGTCGCCGTCTGGTTGTCAGTGCTGTGATACGGCGCTGGCTCGTCCTGAAGACCTCGTGGAAAACGCGTGCGGTCCGTGCGCGGTGGCTGTGTGTCCGGGGATGTCACACAAGGACTTGTGGGTGTTCGGCGCGTCCGCAGCCTAAGATGAACCCGCGTTTCTTCACTGGCGTTCTGCAGTGCCTGGAATAACATTGCAATAACTGCCCGGGGAGTCACCATCCTTGGAGGTGGTTAAGGAAAGACTGGACGTGGTATTTAGTGCTGTGGTCTCGTAGACAAGATGGTGGTGTGGCATAGTTTGGGCTCGATGATCTCGAGGTGTTTTCCAGCCCAGTTGCTCGTGTGATTTTGTAAGTGAAGACTGCAAAGGAGGCGCCCAGTGTGGTCCGACACTAATTATTTCTGGCTCTACAGCAGCCAGGAACCCTGGTTTGCTCTGTGCAGCAAAAATTCTTTGTGCTTTGTAACCAGATGAGTTTGTCTTTGCATTCCTACAGCATTTGCATAAAGAAATATGTTCATTTCTTTATGCATTGGCAAGGGAGGACTTTCTCTCTTTTTGCAGGGTTTTGCCTATGCTTTAAGGTTTTTAAGGGCTTTTTATTAAAGCACGTGGTAAAGTTAGCCTTAGGACCGGCCCTCCCTGAGGACTTCCCTGTTGTAGGTTAAACCTGGCTGGTTGCCAAACCTGACACAGTTTGTTGATTGCTTCCCCACACCCCTGCCTCTCCCATCCTCATGGGATGGGCAGAAAATGAAAACGGCAAAAGTGCAAGAAAGGGTGTGTCAAGATAAAGATAGTTCAATAGATAAAGAAGTACCTGGGCACATAAGCAAAGCAGAATTGGGGATTCATTCACCACTACCCGCAGGTGTTTTTCTATCTCCAAGGAAGAGGGAATCGATGACTCATAACAGGTACTTGGGAAGGCAAACGCCATAACTCCAAATTCCCTTTCATTCTTCCTCCCCTGGCTTTTACTGAGGAGCATGATTCCACACATTGTGGGATAGCCCTTCAATCTTCTGAGATGAGCTGTCCTGGCTGCATCCCCTTCCAGCTTCTTGCTGATCCCCAGTGTGGTCAGCGATGGTGCAGTGTGAGAATTGACTCTGGTGCTGCATAATCATTGCTCAGCATTAGCTGAAAACATGGGTGTGCTGTCAGCAGTGTTGTGTCACCAATCTGAAACAGCACCATGTGAGCTACTGTGAAGGAAGTTAACTCTGTCCCCACCAAAGGCAGTACAGATCAGTGTTTCAGGACATGTCCTCAGTCTGATAATTGTTCTTCAGAACAATATTCACACTTCTTTTGTACAGTTGGGTTTGAATCTTTCATAAATACCTTTATTCTTTTAGTTGAAGCTTGCCCGTTATGACAGTATGATGAAACAGTGTTAGTGTCTTCTGTTTCAGTGTCTGGAAATTCAGGTATCAGACTAGTTGGCATGGCATGTCTTTAGGAAACCCATACTGCCTTTTATACAGCTTGTATCTTACATCTTTACTTGTTTTGCATTGTTCTTCAGAATTTCTTTCTTTCAAGTTGTATTTATAATTTTTTTTATGTTACAGGGATCACATTACTGGATCTTTTGCTATTTGATTTTTTTTAAATGAAAAAATTTTTGCTATTTTTCACTTAGATGCTACTGTTGCTGTTTCAGCAGATTTGTAAAAGACTTTTGTGTTTGTAATTTAACAGGTGCATCAGTGTAATATAATTTTAAGTTTCAAAACTAGGTATTGCTGTGACTCTGAAAGAGACTGTGATCTATTCTCATGACCTAAAACCAGGCCTTTGCCATATAGCCTTCTGACAGGGTAGCCCACCTAGATGATCACAGCAAGCCAGTTCATGTCATCTTTTTGGATTTCAGTAGAACTTTCCATACTGGCTCTCACACTATCCTTCTGGACAAAACATCCAGCACACACGTGGATGAACACGTCATGTGATGTGTGAGCAACTGGTTCATGGGTTGGGTTATAGTAAATGGGTGACATCAGACTGGTGACTGTCACTGGTGGGGTTCCACAGGGCTTCATCCTCAGCCCTGTGCTCTTCAACAGCTTCATAAATTAACCTGGACACAGGTTTCAAAGGTATATTAAGTAAGTTTGCACATGATACAAAATGGGAGGCCCTTGTTTGTGGAGTTTGGCGGGAGAAATGCGGCACGCAATATGAGTGATCAGCAAGTCTCAGAAATCTATTGAATAGGCACACATATTTATAACAGTGTTAATAAGGCTAATGCATATTGCAAAAAGCGAGCTCATTATTGGTTAGTTGTTTATCAGTCAACTACGCCTACGTTTACATTCTTGTGTCTACCTTGTTGTGGCTTTTCTTATCGTTTCTTCATTCTTGCTAGCTAACAAACCTCTCCCACAACCTCATATTTCGGCAAGGGCACAGTGACCTTGCCGCATTTGGACACTGATTCCCGACTCTCGTCTCCTTCTTGCTTAACTAACAGTATTATTCCAGCATGACCTTTGTGAGCTAGCTAACTGTCCACAAAACCCTTTACACTTGTTGACTCCCTGTTGACTCCCTTGAGGACAGGGAGGCCCTGCAGAGAGACCTCAAGGAATTTGAGGGCTGGGCAAATACCAGGCATATGAAGTTCAAAAAGGAAAAGTGCCAGATTCTGCACCTGGGGTGGGGCAGCCCTGATAGTATAGACAGACTGGGGAACAAGAGATTGGAGGAAAATGACCTGGGGGTCCTGGTCAGTGACCAGTTGAACAGGAGTCAGCAATGCCTTGGCACCCAGGAGGGCCACCCGTGTCCTGGGGTGCATCAGGCACAGCATCACAGCCAGGCGAGGGAGGGGATTGTCCTGCTCTGGTCTGCACTGGGGCAGCCTCACCTCCAGTGCTGGGAGCAGCTTTGGGTACTTTGGGTACCACAGTATAAGAAAGACATTGAGCTGTTAGAGAGCATCCAAAGAGGGGCAACAGACATGGTGAAGGGCCTTGACGTGAAGCCGAATGAGGAGTGGGTGAGGTCACTTGTTCTGTTCAGCCTGGAGACCTCATTGCAATCTACAACTTCTTCATGAGGGGAAGTGTAGGGGCAGACACTGATCTCTTCACTCACAGCTGCTCAAGTCTGTGTCTGTGGCATCAGTCACTTTACATTGTTTTGTTTTCTATATACTGAATAAATTTTGTTAATTATCAGGGAAGCGAAAATTTTGTAAGACAATTCTAATTTTTTAATATACTTCCTGTTAGATTATATTTAACTGTTCAGAAACCCAGTGCTGCACTATGATTAAAAACTCCACATAATATAGGTGGTATGGAGAAGGTGAATAAAGAATTACTTTCCTTGTCTCCTGCTGTACCAGGAACAGTGGATGTTGAGTGGAACTTGCAAGGATCTCATTCAAAACACCTAAATAGGCACCATGTAATAAGCCGTCTGAACTCTGCCCAAGGACGTTCCGTACTAAAAACGTGTATGAACTCAAGAGTGTGGGGCAGATTGAATCAGCCATTTAACAGAAGTTGCTAAATGCAAACATATCATCTGCAGCATTTGCCTGATTCACAGAAAGTAACTGGAGAGAATTTTGAAAAGTTTGACTGTGTGTTTATACTTTTGTATATTTCTTGCAAAGCATTTACTTTTGACCATTTTTAAAAATGTGTAAGTGTCACCTCCATGGATGTGTTTGTCCTTACATACAGAAACAAGGCATAGTTCCAATATAAAATTAAAAAAATTCTCTTTATGACACAGTTATAATTACACTGCAGTCTTACTATGAGCAACAGCCATGAAGCTAAACACTGGTGGAGTCAGCAGATTTGGGATGATCATAATGGTTGGCAATTTTACTTGTACTTTGAAAATTATTTCTGCATAAGTGATAGAAAAAGTACTTACATACAGAGTTTTCCAGGGAAGCTAAGAGCTATTGATGTGTTAAGTGTGAGCAGCAGTTTGACTGCTGAAGTTTTTCTGGAACTCACAGTTTACGTATCATCTACTTGCAAATGCTTAAAGAGGAATGCTCACTTTTGTTGTAATAAAAGTCATCAAACCACTGTTACATACAGCTTTGTTGAAATGTTTTTAATGTATCACCTATGTTATGTGGGTAGTTTTTTATAAAGCTTTATGGTACTGGTATTTTCAGCTGAGAGAGCTTTTCAAGAAAAGAGGTGGGGTGTGAGAATGTGACACTGTTGCAAGCTTGCAGATCAGTGATTAGTATTAGAAAATAATATGTCAGTTCTTAGAGCTGATTGTTTGATGAGGAAGTACCAGCTACATGTTGGTCCTCGCATAGCTTCTTGTGTATAGCTGCTTTCCTGTAGCCTAATGTTTATACTGGTTGGCCCATAAGCACATATTGAAAGTAAGAGTGACAAATCTATCACTGTAAAGAACTTCAGAATACTTTCTTAAATTTTCTAGTGATGACAAGGTGGACAATACAAGTGGCACTGGGAAAGCTAGTAAACCTTCAGAGATGCTTACACAGAGAAGAAAACGTATCTCCACCATGCCAAATCTTGTCAAACCCAGAGCTGGACCATCATCTGCTCAGTGTTCTGCACCAAAACCGCAGAGGCGAACATCACAGACTTCTGATGGCAGTGCTTCACTTCAGAAGGATTCCTCCCCATCAGAAAAGAGTAATGTTGAAAGCTCTGTAAAGTCTCCTATGCTTCCTGAGAAGAGAACACCTGTGCCACAAGTGCCACAGTTTTCACCACTAAAAAAGTCTGTGAACAAAGAGCAAACTGTTGGTGTAACTACTCAGAAAAATGATGATAGCTTGCAGAAGAATGTACCCGCTCCTCTCAAGGAGAGGCCAACACAGGAGGAAAAGCTACCTGTGAAACCTTCTCATGAGAAAGTCAAACGAGCATGTTCTGACCGTGAAAGGATCCTCAAAGCTCGTAAATTAAGAGAAATGCTTAAAGAAGAGCTGAAGAAAGAGCGGATGGTAAGGCCTCTGTGTTGAGCAATGCTTATGTGTGAAGGGCAAGAGATTTGATTCACTCTGCATACATTATCTCTTTGCAGTAATGTTTTCTGATGATTGTCAGCTGCTTACTGCTAGTCATCTGTCATACCTCATAACTCTCTATGTGTTTATTCTGTTTATAAGTGGTTGCAGCACTTTGTTCCCTAATTTTGTAACAGATTTTACAAGGAATTTCCCAAGTTTTTCTTTGATTAGACTACAAGTCTTTTTGGCATGACACCTGGTTTTATTTTGTAGTCAGCATTCCAGTTTTGAAAGTTTCACAGGTTGCAATACAGCAGGGAGATGTGCTGCAAAAAGCTTGGATTTGGGATATTTTTTTGGTGATATTTTTTCAAGCTGATCCTTGTCAGAGTTCTGTAATTTTGAATAACTTTTAACTTATTTGTGTCAGGTATTGAATGCTTCTGAATGGGTAAGTGGCTTAAGGGTCTGTAATGCCCTTGCTGAGAAAGGGACACTTTTAAGATAATTTTGTTTTGGTTCTTGGGAGTGGTGTGGGTGTGTGTGTGAAAAACAAAATTCCATGGATGGGGTACTTCATAAATAACCAAAAGTAGTAATAATTTGTGAAGTATAAAATATTTTCGGAGTGAATCTAAATGTTTATTGTTTTCTTTTGTTGTATTTTTGGTTTATATGAAAGAAGTTGAAACACAGGCCTCCAGTAATCGAAGGACGTTCTCCACCAGATCGTTCTAAAATGACCATGAGAGACTTAATATACTATCTGCCAGAAAACAATCCTATGAAGTAAGTATGACTTTTTGTCTCTCTCCTTATGTTAAATCACTTTTTGACCTCTATAATACTTAAATATGGTGTATTAGCACAGATGCAGTATTGTTGCAGTGGTAACAAAGGCTTCTAGACTAGCTTCTAGTTTTCTCATCTGCTTAATTCTAGTACAGAAGTGAGAATGGAGCTTAGTGTACTTGTTGAAATACACAAACGTGAGTCTGTCCCTAGTGTTGATTTATCTCTGCAGAAATACAGACTAGTAGAAATTTTTTTTTCCAACTCCCTGCTTGTGAAATTTTTAGTTGTGGCTGTTAGGGATGTTATAATTGCCCACCAGACCCAGGGGACTCAGGAAGCTAGGCATTTCTTCTTCTAGGTGCTGAAGTGCAAAATGCACTGCAAGACCCTAGAGGTGTTTAAATTCCTTGTGGATGAATGTAGCTGCTGCTGCTTCACTCACATATTTCACTAATGCAGCTGACTGTACAGACTGTCACAGACAGAGCAGAGCAAGGCCTTTTTCCTGCAACTACCAAAAGCAGTCACATGAATGGAAATTCAGTTATCCAAGTTCTGGCTTTCAGTAGTAGATGAGTTTTCTGGTATCATCTGTTATCACTTGCTTCTTAATGTTTGTGTGCTTGTGTGTTTTATTTATCACTTCCCTTATTTTTTCTTTTACACTGAATAGTCCCGAAGGAGGTAAAAAGCAAGATGCTGTCATGTTACCTGTATCCATACAATGGATTTCTGCTTGAAATATCTTTTTTTTTTGTCCTTTCTTGTACAAAAAAGGGCAAAATTTTACAAAATTTACTAAGCAGGTGGTTGTGTAATTCAATCTGGATACAAAGAACTGAAAAAAAAGCATTGTGTTTCTTTGTCCATTGCGCACTAAAAGCCAGTTTTGTGGAAGAAAGCAGAAATATATCTGTACAAACAATCATCTCTAGTTTTTTTATACCATTCTAGGTCTTCATTGGTAGAAGAAAGGAGAACAGAAAGAAGTTCTGCACTGAGTCAAATGAAAGAGTAAGTCTTGATGGTGAAGTATAGTCAGAAAGTTTTCTAGCTTAAAAAAACCTGCATTTCTGTGATAATACTAACAGTGGAGGTATATTTTTTTACTGTTCAAATATCACAGTCTAATTTCTAAAAATTGCAAATTTGGCTGGTATGGTGGTTAAAGAACATCTTGCTTTCAATGTTAAGTTTTGCATATTTTCATTTTACAGTAGAAGGAAAAGCAGGTTTCAAAGTTCATGCATTGACTGATTTCTTGATGTGTTGTATTGCTGGGTGGTTCATCTAATTGTTGAATGTCTATTGAATGAGGAACAATTCAAAACACTGAACAATATTTTTACATGCTGTCTTAAAAATTGTAGACAGGAAGAGAAAAGTACTCCTGATCATGAAGAAGAGGAGGAGGAGGAGGAAGAAGAAGAAGAGAATGGGGAAGAGAGTCAGGATGGCCCACTTCTCGTTCCTCGTGTGAAAGTAGCAGAAGATGGTTCAATCATTCTGGATGAAGAGAGGTGACAAATTCTGTGCCTGACTTATGGACAGTACTGCATTGCAGCTCAATTTGTAAATAGAGGACTACTTTGGACTGGGATGAGTATGAGTGTATTTATGTTTGAGAGTTGAGCTACAGTGACTTAGGAAACTGTGCAAGGATGTGGCAAAATACAAACAACAATAGACTGCATCTCTGTAGTGGCATACTTTATGAGAAATGTTTTTGGGGAAGGAGGTAGAGAGGAAGATGACATTTTATTACTGTGAATGAACACTGAAGATTTGTCAAACTTCCAAATGTCTTCTGTTTAGCTGACTCTCTTGCTTCTCATAGTTAACATGTATCTGCTGCCTGTTATTTTGATATCAATATGATTTGCTCTAGCTTTGCTTCTTGCCTGTTGCTGCTTTATTCTTCTGTTAGTGTTTTCAGTAACTTTGCTTAGAATATGATGTTTAAAAAGTAGATTAGAAAATTTCTGAGTTCCCCAAAGGTATTAACGTGAAATTTAGGCCAAGGTTTAAGCATAAAGGTGGCCTGGTAAAAGAATTTGAAAGTATTGTAGAAGGATATTGAGAGGCTGTCATGGTTTCACAAAGTAGATTTCTGAAATGTTAAAAAGTCTTGTTTTTTTTTTTTAAACAGAAAAAGGAAATTTATTTACAGAGGGTGAATAGGGTAGTGTTTTCTTGCTGCATTCTCCTATTAAAGTATGTGTTAGTATAATTATTAATTACACATTAGAAATGCTCACTTTTGGAAAAAAAATTGAATAGCTGTCTTATAAACATCTACTATATGGTTTCTTAGCAATATTTTGAGGTGAGTCTTCTTGTGTGTTTTCTTTCCCAGCTTAACTGTAGAAGTTCTAAGGACAAAAGGTCCATGTATTGTTGAAGAAAATGATCCCATCTTTGAGCGTGGCTCTACAACTACATATTCTAGCTTCAGGAAAAGTTTTTACACAAAACCATGGTCAAATAAAGGTGAATATATTTTTTGTTTCAAGCTTTGAGTCTGAAGAAAAGTTGTGGTTTTCACCTATGCTTTATACTTGACAGTTTTCATCCCCAATGGACTAAATGGATCTACTTACATGTCTCATGTAGTCTCAACCCTCCACACTCTTACAACAGGCAGAGCTGTGGTATTTACTGTGGAAACTGACATTTTTTAAAAAGCCAGTGCCTTTTAATGTGCAGGCTACCTGTGCTTTTTTTCTGCCATGGATGTTTAGATGCTGAGGAAATGCTAGTTTACTTTACCAAGAGCATAATTTTGGATTCTGGTTTACAAATATTTGAGTTCTATATGGTACTTAACTAGGTTCTTCCAGCATGGGCAAGAACAGATTGTATTTCTGTGTGCCCCGATTTCAGTGCAAGTGGACAGCTGTGTTCTTATGCGTGGGTGGGTTGGGTTCTTCTCTGCCCCTGCTGTGAATTGACTATTATCTCTAGGTTTACAACACTGTGCAAGACTTTTTACAATTGGAAATTACTTTTTATCGCTATAGATGGAAAAATTGGCTTCAGAATTCACTGTGGTCTCTTTGGAATGCTCTCTTTTCCTGTTGGTAATGGAGACAGTAGATTTACATTATGTTTTTCTGATTTCTGTTTGTGCTTGTGTCCATAGTAAAAATGGACATAGACAGTTTGGGGTTGGTTACCTTTGATTTACTAGCTTTAGAAAGCACACTCCACATTCTTCAGTTTTCCGATAGTTTAGACAATTCTTTCTGTTGATAGTTCATTCAGCAAATGTTATTAGAGGGACTTAGGTAAAATAACAAACATGCTCTATACATACTCCTCTGGACTTGCAGCTGCAGTAGGCATTCTCAAAGTTACTGATCTTATGACATTAAGTTTGCAAGTTGTTTTTATTTCTGATAGCAAGAAGGATGGCTTAGTAAATATTTAAGTGTGTGTAATTTTGTCTTTCTTTTCTCTTCTAGAAACAGACATGTTCTTTTTAGCTATCAGTATGGTAGGAACAGACTTCTCCTTGATTGGGCGGCTGTTTCCTCACAGAGCCAGAGCAGAAATTAAGGTAAAAATTAAAGCATTCAATAAAGAAATTAAACATCTGGATTTACTCTTCTTTTTCTTATTTGCATTCCTGTGCTTCCTCTACTAGTGTTGATAATTTTGGTGCAAATTTTCTCTACAGTAGTGCTTGTTTTCTGTTTCAAGAAGTTGTAAGTGTCTGAAACATTAAAATGCTGGTTGAATTTCAGTGAATGTATCTAGTAAATGTAGCATCCTTATACACACTTCGTTTAGTTAAAGAATGCTGATAAGCCTAAATGGCTGTTTGGCGAGGGGCTTCTGTGTTACCTTTTTTGTTGTACACAGCTGGGAAAGTCTTTGGTATTTCAAACCTTGCTCAGATTAAAAGTCAGGAAAAGGTGTAGAAAATAATAAAAAACGTATCACTGGTGATAAGCTGTGGTAACAGATTTTATATTTAAAAATTAGTTGCAAACTTGTGTTCTGTGGATATGCATGTGAATTTTAACAACTGTAGTTGGTTTGTTGCACTGAAGGCTTAGCTTGTGCTGCCATTTTGTACAACATATTGTTGCATTTCTTGCTTAATGATAAACACAACTGTGCATTTGCTTTTAGAACAAGTTCAAACGTGAGGAAAAAGCTAATGGATGGAGAATAGACAAAGCTTTCAGTAAGTAAATATTCCCTACCCTACAATGGGTCATTAAATGGTGGTCATCTATTCTGATGGTAATTTCTGTGCTTTGCCTTGTTTGAATTACTTACAAGAAAGTTTTTGCTCATAGATGAATCCAGAAGCTGTGAAATCTTAGGTTTTGATAACAAGCATAGTTCACAACAATGATCTTTAGGTTTGTTTTCTATCTTTTCTGGATGTCTGCTAAATGAGATTAATATTCTGCTAAATAAGATTAATGTAAACTTTCTTCTGTATATTCAGTGAAAGATAATTGTTCTTCTTAATGGGAATTTCTAGCACAGTTATTTATTGTAAACTGCTTTGAGACTCCTTAAAGACTTTCTTTGCTGGGGGAATGAGTTACATATGTCCTACAGCAAGTAGTATGTTCATATGTTATTTGGTACTATGGTATAGTTTGTGTATTTGTCAGTCCTTAAATTTGCTGAAGTACTTACTTACTTTTATAACTTGTTTTTTAAAACCAAACTACCATAGTCCAGTCACCTTTATGTCAACTTCAGCCCCTGCTTAGGTGATATAGAAAATACTTCCAAAAACTCTGTATTTAAATGTATATGACCTTTGCTTTTTATTATTATGTCATGTATCACTGATTATTTTACAAAGATGAAACTTGAAAAAATAATCAACTTTGAAATCTGTTCTATTTCTTTGCTTTAATCTTACAGAAGAAAAACGACCCTTTGATTTTGAATTCTTTGCCCAGCTTCTTGAGAAGGTCTTAGCTGATGAGGGAAAGAGGAAGCAAAAGACTGTTAAAAGCCAGAAGCCAAAAGAAAAAAAGTCTCCAAGGCCACAGAAGAAGTCAAAAGGTATATTAAAAATGTGCTTGAGATGGCATTACAGAGCAGTGGTCAGTAATGTGTTGCTAGCAGAGGAAAAATTACATAGGGCATCACATTTTCCTTCCCTGTTGTAGTCAGGACAAGAAGATCTTAGCTTCATGGTGGAACATTTTCAGGTGTAGTTTACTGATGTACAGGATGGTAGTAATTAGTAACAGAGCAGAAACATGATACCATGGTGAAAATTGTGTTCTTCCACAATCTGAAGTGCTGATACTCTCATTTACCAGTTGATAAGTATCTCCGTGAGTTGCTAATGAATCCACTTGTAGAATTTTTGGGCCAAAATCACATTTTTGGCAAACTCTTCTGTGATGAAAGTTTTCTTGCATTTTAAATCCTCTTCTTTTAAGGGTTCTGTTTCTCTTTTGGTAGTAGTTTAATTTCCTCAGTCTGAGCAGTATGATTATTTTCAGAGAACGATGTAAAAGTTGATTTATCTTTCTGGTCTGTTCAAAATAAAGATTATGTTTAATTACTGTTGATCACCACTGTGTTTTACTACCTCAGTATCTGGGAAAGGAGCTTTGACATATGTGCTTTAATTAAAAGCAGTTATACTGATACCATTTCATACATTTCTTGCTACTTTTGTGGCACTGTTCACTTGTTTGTTCCACAAGGACCTATCCTTTTGTAAGTGGTATTGTGAAACAAACAAGTGAACATCTTTTTAAAAGGGATGTTAGCTAGGAAACAAGATCTCTTAAAATTGAACTAGTTGCTGCTTTTCTATACCCTTGGTTTTGGATGTGACTAAGTAAAATATCCCATGTATTAGGACTCAAAACCATGTAGAGAAATCTTGTTTCTACACTTTAGTGGTAGATTAAAGGCATGCCTGCATAAAGCAATGTGAGTATGCTTTTCTACCTCTCTTGCATTTTGGAGTTCTTAATTACAGATAAATTAGTTCATTTCAGATGAATAAAAAGGGAATGAAAGGTTCTGGTGGTTAAATAGAGGATAAAGACAAAATGTCCTTAAAGTTGGGGGGAGGAAAATTCTACTAACTCATGAAACCCAGAAAATAACTTGTTAAATATTAGCTAGATAATATTTCAGCTTCCTTATGTAAGCTGGAAGGATCAATTCTTAAACATTTGTTTATGAAAAATTGCTTTTGTATGACATACATTCTGTTACCCTGATCACCTATTTCTGCAGACATAAAAAAATTCTTTACAGGAGTAGCAATGTCTTTTTTTCCTGAATCCAAATGTGGCTGCATCAACTGCAAAAAAGCACAGGGACAATAACGCTTACTAAATTTGCTTTACATCCCATATTGACTTTACCTTGTTGAAGTGTTGTTCCATGTGCAGAGTGCGTTTTGTATTAAATGCTGACGCTTTTCTGGCAAGTCAGTGACTGATGTTCCCCAGTCCTGCTCGTACAGCTGGCAGTGTATTGGCAGTGATACATGAGTACAGAAATGTTTTTAGTAGAAATGCCTTTGCTGTTTGTGGCTCCTAGTACTCTACCAGTCTATTGACCAAGAACCGTATTGTGTCATTAGCAAAAGCTGCCAGCACAGAAGCTGCTAATAATCAAGATGAACTTCAGGAAGCTGGAATTTCTGATGCAGAAACAGAAGCAGATGGTGTGACAGCTGAGAAAGAAAATGAGGAATCTTTGGGCATTTCTGAACAGGCAGAAGAAGAGGTTGCATTAGAGCCAGCATTAGCAAAAAAGAAGAGAAAGAGGAAGAGAAAAGGTGATCTTGAAGAGGAAGTGGAGAATATTCCTAAAGAAGTGCCTGTTCCTTCAAAAACTGCTGAAGAAGGGAAGTCCTCTAATAAAAGTAAGATGCAAAAATGCTCACTTTCAAATGTTCAAATAGAAATTTTATAGAAAGTCATTGCTAATGTTAAAGTCAGATTTTGGTCTTTGATTTATGTTGCCGGTCTGCCTTGTGGGAGGTTGTGGAGTGATGTATTTTAAAATCAGCTTTCATTCTAAATCTAAAGATACTTTGTTTTAAATGAGAATAGTTCTCTTAAATCTTAATACTTACACCATTTCTGGTGGGATTTTAGTCTTATATTAATTCTTCTTCACTGTAGATAGGATTTGATTACTGGAATTCCAGAATGTTCCCAGAATGTCCAAACTGATTTAATTCTTATTAATTATCAGGGAAAAAAGTGATACATGATGCAAGCAGTGATGGTGATATCACCTGTGGAGAAGAAGTGGATTGTGCTATTGAAGGAAAGCAAAGTGAGACTGCTGTTACAGAGGAAGAGAGATCAGAATCCTGTTCACCAGTGAATAACCAAATGGAGAGAGAAGGTGGTGTCAATTTATGCAGGTAATGCCTATAATGGAAAGCTTAGGCAAAAAAAAATAGCTTAAAGTTTTAATATTGGTTTTATTTATTCATGATTGCCACCATTTAACTGCCACAGAATATGCAAGTTTCTGAGAACTGTCCTGGGGTTTAGTAAGCTGTTTATGATTTATATACTCAAAATATTGGCTGCCCTAATTGGCTGCCCTTGCAAAATTAATGTACATAATTACTAAAGTAATTTCCAAAAGTTATATCATTTTTTAAGAGTGTTTAGGAAGACGATTGTTTATCCTAACTTCTAATATTTCTCTAGAAGCAGGGGTTGATAATGTTGCTAAGTTGAGTTACTATATGCTTGAAATTTTTATCTGTAATAAAATTATTCTTGTGGAAAAGGAATGATGCTTAGATTTTATTTATGGAGAATTTGGGTGAGATCCAAGCTGTTGGGTTCAATTTTGGGCATACTTTTACTAAAAAAGATTGTTTATTACTAAACGCTTGTTTATTAAACTCATTATATGTGAAAGTAGCGAATTGAAAAGTTCATTATGATACTGTGAGTGCTGCTTCAGAATTTTGTGTGTTAATTTGTTGTATTCAGTTGCATTGTAATGTTTGTTATTTTATACATATTCCCGAAACTTCCATTTTCTTTTGTAGTTCATTAGAAGCATAGGAAGGGACAGTAACTTGCCTTTGGACTCAACCTAGATTGTTATGAAAGATTATAGGAAAAAAACACTGGCATGCCGTTGTTTGTGTTAAAGTTTATTTTCTTAAAAACAATCAGTCTAGAATAATCAGATGAGATTTTTACATCATCTTATAATTGCAGTGCAAAAGTACAAAAGTTGTTTTAAAGCTCTGCGAGTATTATTATTCTGCAAAAATACAAAAAATTAGTCTGCAAAAATAGTCTGCAAATATTATTAAAATTTCATGACATTCTCTGAAACATGGGTAGTTATTTAGTGTCAAAATTGAGGCGTTTTTTGTGCAACTTCTCTGTCTGTAAGCAGAAACCGTTTTTTCCTACAAGTACACTAATATTCCTGTATGCTTTTATTTATTTCAGCCTTGAAGATAGCAATGATGTTATACTAGAAGCAGAACCTGCTAAATTGAGAACCAGAGATGCTAGAGATAATGCATCACAGGAAAGCCAGATTCCAGAGTTACCAGTTTCAAATATTAGAAGCAAGGAATCAGGATGTGTAGAAACTACAGAATCAAAGGTATTACTATTTTTCTGTGTAGTTCATCTCAAGATCTTGCCCTTGGTCATTAAAAGTGTTTTGTAAATCAAAGCCATTTTTGGATTGGTTTTGGGATATTTTCACCATCAAGTGAAAAACAATCAACAGGCCTGAGAAAACCATCAAAATTGAAATACTGTCATTTCTTGTGGACTTAATGGGCTGTCCCTTAACCTGAATGTATTCAAAGAGTATACTGTGCATGCCTGACTTACTTCATAGATAATTTACACAGCTGAACAGTTTAATCATTCAAAAGTGAATGACTGCTATATGAATAGCTAGGCCTAGGAGCAGGATTTTGCTGGCATGTGCTTACTGGTACAGTATTGGAAACTGATTTGAGTGGAACGCACATTGAGTTGTTTGTGCTGCTCCATGAATGATCTAGATAACGGAGCAGAGAACCTCATCAAGTTTACAGATTAGACAGATCTAGAAGGAATTGCTTCCCAAGGACAAGGCATGCAAAGGTTAATTCTTAAGGATTTATTTTACTTCTCATTATGCTGCTCTGATTTTTTTAGTAATAAATTCATGTTGTATTTCTAAGTTGAGCCTGTTTTGCCTCTGATGGTATTTAGTGAGTGATCTCTCTCCTGGTCCTTGTCTCGAGCTGTGAACCCTGCATTAAATTTTCTCTTGTCTGTCCAGCTGCAGAGAGGAGTGAGTGAGCAGCTTTGGTGGGCACCTGGCCCAGGTTAGCCCACTACACTTGATCGGGGGGTTGGACCAGCGGACATCTAGCAGACCCTTCCTCTCTCAACCACTGTGGCAATCTTGTTACTGCTTTTTGTTACATTACAGTAAAAGATCGTCTTAAGTTTATTGTTTCTTCTCTACAACATTTCTCCCTCAGAGTGAAGATACCCATCACTCACAAGAACCAGATGGAAAGCAGAGTGCATCAGAATGTGGTTCACAGTCTGAAATCATGTAAGTAGAATTATTTTACTTTGAGGTGGCACTTGAACTAAACCTGTATCTACTCAATTTGAAGATAATTCCAATTGACCATAGCAGGTTGAACCAGTCAGGAGATGGTGATGACTTTTTTCCATATTCAGTGAAGCTTTTTGGTAGAAATTTTGATTACTCAGTAGCAATGCATTAGCCAAGATCTGAATGGTAGATAGGAATAGGGAGAAAGACTTAGCTCAACTTTGAGGAAAAAACCCTAGCCTTTCTACAGCCAGCAAGAGCAAGAGAATTATGAAATTCTGCCACATTTTGGGTAAAGCTTGGCTGTGAAATTTAATTTTTGTTTTTTTAGTAAAAGGGCCTCATTGAATTCATAGACATTTGTGGTTGTCCATCAGAGATTATTAGCTGTACATGTCATGTGTATGGTGTATTTATTTTTTCCTATTTGGAAACTGTTCCTCTTAGGAACTTGGTGGAAGCTTCTAAGATAAAAGATACTCCAAAATGTCTGTCTTATCTGTACTCCTTTATGAAATTAATTTTGGTGACTGTTTCTTACACTGAGAAATGATATTTGAAGTAGTCTGTGCCTAAGATTTCCATTTTTGCATGATCATCACCTTCTTATTTCATGATACAGTTTTCTAAAGGTGATTTAGATATGGGGTACTAGTTAATGCTAAGTTGGTTTTCATACTTCTATCTTTCCCTTTTTGAAGGGCAGCTCACTCTTATTATAAAGACTGTCAAAGCTTTATTTATCCTGTTCTAGGGAGAATATAAGAAAAGGTAGTAGTTCCCAATCTGAAGATTATTATAAGATGTAGGGCTGTGTCAGTGTGTGAATCCCAGGACATGCCATTGCAGTGGTTAAGGACAAAGAAAGTGACGTACGTACCTTAAAGTATTTTGAAATAGATTCCACTGAAAGCCAGCAAAGTTAAGGTTTATTTGATGCTCTTTTCATAACTTTGTAGCATGTCTTTTAATATCAGAAAGATGCAATAGGGGTTTTTTTTCTGTTTATTGTCTTGCTACATGCAATGTCTTGACCCATGCGGTCTGTGATGCTCTTGAGGTACATCTTGAACCATATAAGACTTCAAGTTTCTCTTTGGTAATAATGTATACCACCTTTCTTTATATCTTAAGGAAAAGTGAAAAGTCATCAGACAGAAGGCGCTTGCAAAGACCTAAACCCAATTTAGTGAGGTCATCTGGAAGGAGGGAGACAGCAACACAAGACAAAATGGAAGCCAAAACTTGTTCTCCAGCCCTTGCAAATGCAGGTGAAAAGGTCAGAAAGAGGAGTGTTACTTATTATGTTGTTCTTGATGCTGCATCTCTTTTGCTCAATGGGGATACTGTGGGCCAGCCACAGAAATAATGTTTTAGGAACTGCTACTATGATACCTGCACACTTGTCTAAGACTAATATTCCTTGCCTCTATTCCAGTGCTCTGAAGAGGAGAGTAGAAGAAACAAAAATGAAGCCACAGAAGTAGAGAACAGCAATTTGGATACTGCATCTCAGTAAGTATTGAGATCACTTTTCCAGTCTCCTGGTATGAGCTGACTATAACTGTTAATCTATTCCATATAGTTCTCCTTGAAAAAGATAGCAATAGCTGTAAAGCTTTACTGTAAATTTCAAAATTGACTTTAGCATTTTTTTGGATGATATCAGGTGTTACTAAGATAGAAAGTATATACTTCGTTTCTGGAAAGCATTGAAGTACCAGCAATGCCTGTAATTTGAGAGGGGGAGGGTGATAACTGTGGCTTTGCTTTCCTGCCAGCCTCAGTTACCAGGTAATGGCTCTGCTTCTGGCACTTGCAGAAGCAGCTGTAGTATGAAATCTAGTTAAATTCCTCACCTGTGTGACAAATTAATCTCTTTTTAATACATAGATAAATTGAGTTTTCATGCATTGTAAGACTAAAAAAAAGCTCGTTTCTTGTACAGCAACTTGCATAAGTTTGGGCAAATCTTTCTGAATACAACCAAATTCAAGTAAAGAAATCTGTGCAAGATTGTGCGGTATTGATAGGCTTGAATATTATGTAATAAATGTCACTATTGTGAATCCTTTGTGCAGAGAATCTGAAAAAACTGCAATTGTAAAGACAATAGGTAGAGGATTTCGACAGAGATTTAAACCTAATGTTACAAGAGCATCTGGAAGGAAAGAAGAGCCTGAAAAAGATAAAGGAAATGATAAAATATCCCATCTACAGTCTAAGGGGGAAACTGAGAAGGTATTTAATAAAGTAACAACTGTAGATAATAAGCTGCTGGATACAACAGTAATGTTATCTTTTTTTTTTCTTTACTTTTTTTGCTCCTGAGCATGAACAGGAATTAGCCACTTACTTAACCTGCTTTCAGTGATAGCTTGGTATAGCTTAGTAACCTCAGCTATGGTGAGAGGTTGTTATACAAACAGTAGATACCAATAGTCTTTCATGTCCTGCAGCAAATACAACTTCAGGTGTTTGCTGTAGTTTTTACTGCACCTGTCTGACTGAGAAATTTATCCTGTAATTGTTTGTGTGTCATAAGCAATCTATTTTGTCTCCTCTTATGAACCGTTACTTGGTCAGTTAGGTGATGGTGTATTTAATGAATGTAAGACAGTTCATGTCATAATGCTCTGTTTTTGTTCAGAATAATGACCAAGGTAATAGATCTGATGGTACCAGTGAAGATACTGCAGAAAAAGATGACAAAGTCCTGGAGACAATGTCTCAGTAAGTATAAGAAAAATAAGAAGATAAGCACTGCTGTCCTGCAATTTACCATTCTTGTCACTTCTGGTAGTATTTTGTAGTGTGGTAATTATAGAAGTTTTTGAAGAAACTTCTGCACTACAGAAATTGAGGGGAAAATAGGAATCTTCATTAATTTATGAAACATATATTAAGCATTTTCATTTTTAAAGTTGTACTTTTAAATTATAAGTCAGTCATGGTAAATGTAGAAAAGCTGAAAATTTAGTCCCTCAAAAAATAAACAAGCCTTAGCTACTCACTTTTAATGCTAAAATGTATCCATTCCAGTGGTTAAGTATTTAAATAATAGAATTAAATGTTCTTAAAGTGTAGTTAAGTGTTAGATGTCAAATAAGAGAAGAAAAAACTCAATGTGTGGACAGTATAATGCATATGTTTATTAAGTGTTGTGTTTTTCTTCAGTGAAGTGGTGGCTGTAGTGTAAAAGGAATAATATGTTTTATAGAGGAGATTGTAAAAAATAAAAACTGGAAAAAGCCAACTTTCCCCCAAATACTCCCCAACAAAAAAAATCCCAAAACAACCAAAACGAGAAATAAAAATCCAAAACCTCAAGCTTGTCTTTTGAAGGGAGATAGTTGAAGAGGATTGGTGGGGATAAATTGGGTGTGATAATCTGCCAGAAAAAAATTTCAGTTACTGCTTTCATTAACCTGCTCTGTGACTTGATGCTCAGTGTAAAAAGTTGTAGAAGAATCTGACCATTCTAGTAACGCACTACTGATACTTTTACATTAATAAGATAAAAAAGTTACTTATGTAGTTTCTGAACTCACTAAAGAAAAACTCTGAATATTTACATATTTTTAAACTCCTTATTATATTAGGTCCATCTAGACTAGATAGGAATACAAAGAGGTCCATTATGGATCAGAAAGGTCTCTCTAGTGTGATACACTGTCACCAGTGGGAAGAGGAAAATAGCAGGGCACCATAAGTTTAAACTCTCAGTCCCTAGTAGATACATTTCCAATTTTATCCTTTCAGGAGCCTAGTAATACATTTTAGGTAAGTGTATGTTAATAACTATTTAAAAGAAAGGGGGAAAAAAGCACCTGTTCTCCAAGTCTTCCCACTTTCAGATGTGGTATGTACTTCAGGGATCATATATGTTTTTCCAGGTCTAATGAAACAGCTGGTTTAAAAGAAGATACCAAACGGATTGTGTTGAATCAAACAGCTCTAAAAAGAGGTAGAATACAGAGACCAAAACCAAATCTAGGAAGAACTGTTGCAAGGCGAAAAGAACTGATAGATGAAAAAGATCCTGAAGAGGAGACAACTGAAGGTGAAGAAGCAGTAAAAGGTGTCACACGCCATCAAGATGAAAACAATGATCCCTGCCTTAGAAGTGTAAGTTTCTTGAGCAACTGCTTATGCACGATGTCGCCTTGATTTTGTAAGACTTTGTTAAGCCTTCTGATGTTTGTATTCTTTCAACAAACTTTCTCACACACAGTTCTGTAAATAACCTATGTTTTGCATTCTTTCATGGAGGTGGAGAGAATTGATGGACCCTTGGTCTGTCCAGTGGCATTGGAGAGGCGGCACTGTCACCCTCCAATCCACTGTCACCTTTGGAAAACTATAAATGTTAGAGTCAGAAAATAAAGTTCTTCTTCTTCTTTTTGTTCCCCTCGAGAGCAGCAGTGTCTGTGTCATCATTTCGTGTCTTATCACAACACACGCTGTTTTGTTGGGTCCTTAATAGAAGCCTTGGTACAAAGACCTAGGTACATACTACATAATTTGTAGGGATAGGCTTTGCATGCTTTATTTATTATTTCAGAAAAAAATAAATTTACAGTAACAAAATTTCCTCATTTTTGCACTTGGGTTCTGTTTTCCATGGTGTTAGGTTTAAGCACAGTCAGCAACCAAGTACCAGCTCACTTGCTCACTGCCTCACCAGCAGTACTGGAGACAGAACTGGAAGGGTAAAAGCTGGAAAACAGGGGCTGAGATCCCCTGAGTGCTGGTTAACCCTGAATAAGGTTTAGTAGGGAAAGCAGAAGCTATACTCATGTGCAGAGCATAACCAGAAACTCTTCTACTACTTCCCATGAACAGGCAGGGTTCAGTCACCTCCAGGAGAGCTGGGCTTCATCACACTTAATGATTACTTGGAAGACAAAAGCCATTTCCCCCCACTTTGTATACTGAGCTACCTGTCCATGCCTCAGCAGGACATGGAATATCCCTTTGGTCAGTTTGGGTTACCTATCCTGACTGTGTCCCCACCCATCCTTCCATGCCCCTCCAGCTTCCTCTCCAGCTTGGCAATATGAAAAGCAGAAAAGGCCTTGGCTCTGTGTAAGCCCTGCTCAGCAATAATTAAAACATCTCTGTATTATCAGCCTTGTGTGCAGCATAAACCCAAACCACAGCCCCATACTTAACACTGTGAAGAAAGCTAACTGCCCTAGTCAAAACCAGCATACATGGAAATGGAATATATCTGACTTGGTTGTATTGTGATACCAGATCTGAAAAGAGAAATGCAAAGAAAGAATGCCTCAGAAGATGAACCACTTAAAAGAGAAAGTATAAATATATTTTACTTTTATAGTAGCCACTGATATTAGTTGGATGATAAGAAGAAAGAGAAATCTTAGTGTTTCTGTAGAAAATATTTAAACTTTCTCATTTTCCTCCTGCTCTACTAGAAGAGAGGTGGAGTAAATATTTCGTCTTAACAAAGTGGAACTTTTATTTGTTTTAGGATTTAACAGTTCTTGAAGCCACACAGCCACCCAGTGTGACATTAGAAGATGTTTCTGCAGATTCTGAGATGAACTCAAATACAAGACAGTGTTTCCAAGAAAAGTCCTCAGAAGCAGAAAGCAATGAAAGTGAAAAGGGATTGTCAGATGTCTCCAAACAGGTTTCAGATTCTAGTACAGGGTAAGGTTATTTCACTTCAGTTGAGACAAGGAATGGTTCAAAGCTATCAGTATCTTTATGTATTATACTATATTACATTCAACTCTGCCATTACAAACAAGTTTTAATCAAGACAATGCTAGACTTCAAGTAACAATGCCCCAAGATCTTGAAAGCATTAAAATTATATGCTCTTGGTTGTTAATTTGATCTTTGGACTATTGGCCTAGTTTTAAAAAAAATGCACTTTTCTAATGTTCAGTCCCTGTGATTGTCTTCTCCGTGGTGGTTTCCACTGTGCATTTTAGTGTGCTTATATAGATCCTTAAGTACAGAGTCTGGTTTCTAATTAAAGCGCCTCTTAAAAAAAATAAGTCAACCACAGGTATTCTGTAAGTCTTTTAAACATGATTAGAGGAAGGTATTTGTGAAATGTATGTATCTCAGTAAAATGTCTCAACTTGTCTTCCAGGTCTCAAGTGGAAGTGGCGGTTAACTTCTTTGCTTTCCTATTTATAAGATACAGAGACATTTAGTGGTGATTTTATATTGGATCTTTTTGATGTCACTAATGTTATTGTTCTGAGAGCTGTATACAAGTATGCCATATTGTCCCATGCCTTTGATTGTTCTTTTGCTTGTTTTTGCAGGGAATCTCGTCCTCAGAAGGAAGAGGAGAAAACTGTCGTATCATCAGCTTGGCTACTGAGGACGCGATTCCAGAGACCAAAGCCAAATTTAAGAGCAGCTAGTAGAAAGGAAGTTCTGGATGTAAATAATAAAGGTGCATCACAGAAAGATAGCAACAAGGAAGAAAGTTTGACACAGTGTGGTAGTCAATGTAGCATCCCTCCTGACACAGATGTAAGGCTTTTGTTTTTTTCCTTTAGTTATATGTGAGCTTTTCATTTTGTGAAATGAAGTACTGATGATTTTAAAAAATACTGAGTTAGCTTTTTGAAACATTTTTTTCACAAGCTTAAATTTTCTACCTTAAAACTTGTGTACTTTTAATTTGGTCATATGTGAGGAGAAGAAGATGACTCACATATGATGATATGATGAATCTCCTGTACATGTCCCGATGTCTTTCTGACCCAAAGTGGCATTATAGAGATGACAGGGAAGAAAAAAAAAGTATTAATAGAAGATGGCACAGATTTCAGGCTTTTTTGTCGTAAACAAAAAGGTGTGTATTTGTCCTGGAAAGACGGAGAAATCATTAGTGAGCAGTTTGTAGGAGAGTGCAAAAAACTCTGAATTTTTCAGAGAGTGGTGAGTACTAAACTTCATAGACATCATAGTCTCCTTTTGGTTTATTATTACAGCTTTTTCTGGTTCTTGTGTTTACATTTTTCAGAAAGCAGGAAAATGTGAAGTCTTAAATGCACTAGAATCCTTGGGAAAGGAGAAGTCACTTAGCTCTCAGGAAGTTTCTGAGAGGCCAAGTTGTAAGTCACCAAAAACATTTCCAAGATCAGAGGATGGTGAACTGGAGTTCTGCCTATTTGAAATTAGCCAAGATGACATTTCTACTACTATTGCTGGGTAAGGGCTCATCTACTTTTCATCCTTGACTGTAACAATGAAAGAATTTTACAAGGAAATCATTGTGCCAGTGGATTGCCATCTGGCAAAAATAGTCTAATGAAAATACTGCACAAAATTTCCATTGTCATAGTTCAACACAAGTAATACTACAATTTCAGTAGCTTCTATGCTAAGCATGACATTAATGAGCATTCGCTTTATAACTGTTTAATCATCTGAAAGAATGGATTAATTTCATTTAAGCAGGGAAATACTTACTTTGCTTATCAGAGAAACCATGTGAAAATTGCTTTGGTAGCAACAAATAGTCAGTAAGTCAATACCTTCAGTGAGTTAGTTAGTTCTGTTGTTGGAAGTAATTAGGAGACCGGTACTTCAAAATCTTCTCTGGAACAATTTGTTGTTTGTAATTTAAACTCAGCTGAACTTTTAGTTCACAAGATTTCTTCTCAAAACTCAGTGGTTTTTGCATGTAATACTAATGGACCTGTGTTTGTGTTTGTACTAAGTTTTGGATGATTTTTTTCTGTCTTAACTTTGCATTGATGACGCAAACAGCACTCAAGAAGAATGTCAATATGCACCTCTTCCACCTGTTCAGCTGGCATGGAACAAGAGATACAAGCCAAACTTGGTAACAACTGTTGGAAAGGAGTTACAAATATCAGAAAATGAGAGCAAGAAAATGCCTGAAGCAGAGCAAAAAGATGAGTTTGACAATACTGTCATGGTAAGCTTTAATAAGAGCAAGGCTTTGCCTTCAAAGTTGGTTTGAAGTGCATGTTCACTTTTATGAAGTGAAGTGAAAACACTGAAGTTGCATTGCCTGAAGCTGAGACAATATATTAAATTTTAAAATTTCCAAACCCTGGTAAGCTGAGGTAATGTAGGTATGAAATCAGTGAGGTCTACAACTTGAAGTATTAAGTATTTTTTTTTACAAAGGATCTACTTTTGATTGAAATGCAGGATAGGAAAAAATTATGCACATTTATACAAACTAGAATCAAAATGCATAAGAATTACCTTTTTTTTCTCATTTCATCTTTCCTGTTTGGATGAATCAAGTCTGTGTTGAGCAATCTAGTATAAGGTCTCAAGCAAAGGCCGAGGACAGCTATTTTTATGAAAAAAGGGTTTTTTTAAATTTGATAACTTTAACTGGCTTCATGAGTACCTGATACTCCTCTATTTCGTACAAGTAAATGACACTGTGTATCCCCACAGACACTTTACTAGGGACTTGAAAAGATGTGGAAATCCTCAAAAGTAATTTACAGTGTGATGTGTTCTCTGTAACTGTTTTGTGGGTTGCACATGAATCATGTCATGGATGTAGGGTTATCTGTGTAGACTTGCCTTGGATTTGAAATACGGCTAAAATTTGCAAGAGTGACTGATGTTTTGGAGTGGTGTTATAGCTGGTTTTGTTCTTGAGCCTATGAGAAGTACTTGTGTCCTGCATTCATCTCTCATCTCCCATCAGTGCCACAGTTGGCTCACCCCTAGTTGAGATAATTCCTTGTGGTTCAGCTTTGGCTTCTTTTGACCTGTGGCCTGTGAACCGTGCACATGCATCTGCTCTGTACTGGGCAAATCTGTAGAACCAGAGCAGGTCTGATGCTCTTCTTTACTAATCAAGCTGTCACAGGCCTGAAGTGTTGAAAGATATGTTTGAGGGGCTTCTTTGTGGAACCAGTGTGGCAAATACAGACATAAAGCTTATTAGGCCTTCTGGATCTTGAGGCTATGTTATTGTGGCTTGGGTATGTCTGTGCTGCCCTCTGCTGTGTCCAGTTTTCAAAGGTTTTCCATTTGCTGAAGTATCTTGTTCCACAGTGCTCCATGTATTAGGGAATTGATTGAATGCTAAATAGACAAGAGTTTCCCATAATGCTTGGGTGCACATAGTATTTAAGAACTTAACTCTAGTTATCCCAGGAGTATGCAGATTTCTGTTTCTTTTTGGGTATAAATTTAATTATGATAACATGATTCTTTCTTTTTGGGTATAAATTGAATTATGATAACATGATTATTACCTTTACTCCAATTGGGAAAATAGCATAGTTTCTATTTTTGTATTTTCTGTTTTAGAAACTCACATACTTTTATTTTTCTTCATGCTTCTTTTACTTTCAGTTAAAGGGTGAAAATGAAGTTGTATTGTGTCAAGCAGATGTATTGAGCAAAGAGGAACAGGAACAGCAAGAGGTGCCTCAGGTCCTCTCTATTTCTGAAACCTTATTGTCTGAACAAAGCAGGTGAGGTTTGAGTTTAGCAGAATAGCATTTGAAAAGCTTTTGTCTGTCATAATGAGACACCTTTTCAAATGTCAATTCTTCTGTTCCTTGTCTTTTGTCATCCTACAGTCTTAAATTTTCAGTGCCTACAAACAGCTTCTTCCAGTGTTTTCAGAGCACATTTTTTTTAGCTGCACTCTTTGTCATAATTTATCTGGTACCTACTTGATTTGTATGAGCTCATAGGTCTACTTGGTCTGTATTTGCTTAAGTAGCAATCACACGTATAAGATATGTAACAGAAATTTTGCAAAATGTTAGAGACTTGACTTTCATTTGTCCATCCATGTGCTCTTCTATTTTACTGCCACTCTTGTTAAAATAAGATCTTAAGTATGTGTTAAAGTGTTTATACTTTGATGTTGGTATGGTTAGCAACTCAAATAGTTTTTTATGTTAAGAATGCCTTGACAAAGACATTTTGATATTTCTGCTCCAAGGTTAACCATGAATGAGAAATATATTTGAAAATATAATTTTATTAATCTTAAACAAAGCAGTCTCTTGTGTAAGTGTTAATTCAAAACTTGACTGCAGAAGTGCTTTTTTTCCTCTCCCAACCAAAGTCAAGTGTGTATTTTCTGTTTTTGTTTGTTTGCTTTAAATTCACCAGTACTGAAAAACTTACCTCCCAAGAAGGCAAGCTGAGTGCTCTGAAACCAGGACAACTCGTAAGGATTGAGTCTCCAAGAGCTAGACCAAACCTAGAAAGAACATACAGCAAAAAAGGATCTCCAGTAGTACAAAAACTTGATGCCCCAGATGAAGAAGAAATGAATCATGGAGAGAATCTGCCTGTGGTAGAAGAATCTGAAAACCTTTTCTCCTCAAAAGTGAGATTCTATTTCTGACTACACTTACTCATGCTTGGTTCCACACTAGCTTTTTTTTAAGGCATCTAAATAAGCTGTTGTAAATGCATTAGTTAATTTCAGCCTAGTAAGAATTCCTGTTCAGTATTTGCATGCTATTACAGGGTTTTCCAAAATTCTGCCAGTGACACGTTGATAAGACATACAGAGACTTCACTTGAATTTTGACATTTCAGTCATATTCATGATACATGAATAGTTACCTGCATGTTGTATTTCTGTTGCTGGGTTTCTCCCGAGCTCCTTGATTGCTTCTCATAAAGGACTATATTGGTTTTAGTATCTGTTTTTATTAGCTAAATGCCTTCCTAGAGGAGCAAAGAGCAGTGATGGTGCCATAAACTACTTGTAAGTTTTTAAATGAAGTTTCATCTCAGGTTAGCAACATGATCATAATTTGCAATACTTTATTTTACAGGCGATACATTTTGTTACAATAATAAATAAAATATTTTATATACTTTGCTAATATTGTTGTTTTTTTTTTTTCTCAAATCCAAGGATGACATGAGGGAATTGTTGCTTGTGGGAAATTTGGCCGATAATGACAGTCTAGACATAAATTCAAGAAGCATGACATCAGGAACACTTTGTTCTTCTAAAAAATCACCAAATTACAACAGCAAAAGAGAGCAAGAAGAATGTCTATCTGCAGATGCTATAGGAGGCATTCAGGATACCACAGAAAGGTAAATTACCTGTTTCCAAAGTAAAAAATCTTTCATTTTGGTTTCAGCTGGGGTAGAGTTGATTTTCTTCTTAGTAGCTGGTACAGTGCTGCATTTTGGATTCAATATGAGAGTAATATTGGTAACACACTGACATTTTAGTTGTTGTTGAGCAGTGCTTACCCTAAGTTGAGAACTTTTCAGTGTCTCATGGTCTACCAGTGAGCAGGTGCATAAGCAGCTGAGAGGGAACACATCCAGAACAGCTGGTGTGAACTGGCCAAAAGGATATTGCATACCATGGAATATCATGCTCACTCCATAAACTGGAGGGACCTGGCCAGGAGCTGCTGAACACTTCTTGGGGATGGGCTGGGTGTCAGTCAGAAAGCAGTGAGCAGTTGTGCATCACTTGTTTCCTTGTGTTTTATTACCCTCTGTCTGTGTGTCTGCCTCTCCTTTTCATTATTTTATATTTTATTTTGTTATGATTATTAAACTGTTCATCTCTAAACCACAAGGTTTAACTTTTCTTTCCAATTCTCCTCCTCCCTGGGGTTTGGGGACTGACTGACTTCATGGCACTTACTTGTCTGCTGTGGTTAAGCTGCGACAGTACTTTAAAAATTTTGTGCATTTGTCCAGTTATTTTTATACAGCACTTGATTTTGGAAGCACAGGCTCTGTACTAGTTGTTATCTACTATGTGCTGTGCAAGTCACTAGGTGGCGTTCTTAAGTAATAGAACAGTTTTTAACAGGATTAGGGTTTTTTTCCAAGGCTGTTTTCCTTTTTAGAAGGTAGTTCATGGGTGAGAGTAGAAGCAAGTAATCAGGGTTTAGCTGTCAGAATTGCTCACTAATAAATGCTTATAACTGAGAACTGACAAGAAGACAGCAAGCTCACTTTATGTTTCTGTAATATATATTCTGAGTCTCTTCAATTTTTCTTTCCAGTAGTAGAACTCCTGTGATGATGCTTGTAATGTATGTGTAGTATGAGGCAGATAGTGCCACTTACATGCAACAGCTCTGGGTTATGTTATAAGCTACTTTTTGCTCTGTCTTTACTTACACAGAGCAGCCCCAAATTATTTTAAAATTTTGCTGTTTTCTGGAATTAACTTCTGGTTTGCATCTGTACCTAAAACTCACTAAAATCTCTTCCATAAATTATGCTAAAATCATGTCCCAGAGTCTTTGTGCTGACAAGACAAGGGCCTTACTTGACAATCTTCTTGTCTTCTATGATAGTGGACTTTCACAGACTCACAGAGTGGTTGAGGGTGGAAGGGTCTGCTAGAAGTCTTCTGGTCCAACCCCCCAGTCAAGGCACCTGGAGCTGGTGGCCCAATAGTGTGTCGAGACAGCTGCTCAATCTTGCCAAGGATAGAGTCTCCACAGTCTCTCTGGGCAGCCGGTGCCAGTGCTTGCTAACCCTCCCAGTGAAACAGGATTTCCTGGTGCTCAGAAGGAACCTCCTGTCCTGCACTGTTTGCCCATTGTCTCTTGTCCCGTCACAGGGCACCCCGGAAAGAACCTGGCCCTGTCCTGTCTGCAGCCTCCCCTTAGGGTTTTGTGGAACTGCTGAAGAGGGATCTCTTCAGATCCTTCAGAGAAGGCTCCCCCTGAGCCTCCTCTCCAGGTTGAACAGTTCCTGCTCCTTCAGCTTTTTGTCTTGGCAGAGATGCTTCCAGCCCCTTAGCATCTGTATGACCCTTTGAGGGGCTGTCTCCAGTGTGTCCAGGTCTCTCCTGCCAGGGAGCCCGGAACTGGTTCAGTCCTCCAGGCGCAGCTTCATCAGTGCTGAACAAGGGGCACGGATCACCTCCCTTGGCCTGCTGGCAACACTGCTCCCGCTGCAGCCCAGGCCACCATCAACTGTTTGTGCAGCCACAGCACTTTCCTGGTTCATGTTCAACCCAGAGACCACCAGGACGGCCGGGTTCTTTTCTGCAAAGCTGCTTTCCATCTGGGTGGTTTGCAGCATGTGCTGGTGCTTTGGGCTGCTCTTCCTCTGGTGCAGGACTTTGCATCTCCTCATGCCGAACATCCTGAGGCTCCCATAGCCCACTTCTCCAGCCTCTCCAGGTCCCTCTGGAGGCCAGTATAACCTTTGCATGCCTTGTCCTTGGGAAGCAATTCCTTCTAGATCTGTCTAATCTGTAAACTTGATGAGGTTACACTCTGCTCCATCATCCAGATTATTTTGTGGAGATACTTTACAGGACTCAATACAGTATTAACCCGTGGGGTACAGTGTTGGTTGGTCTCCAGCTGGACTTTGTGTCATTGATCACAAACCTCAGAACCTGACAATCAGTTTTTAATGGACTTTCAGTCCATACTTGATGAGCTCAGTTATCAGCATGTTAGAAGAGACAGTGTTCTACAGTGTTACAAGACTTACTGGAGTCCAGGTAGACACTATTTACTGCTCTCCCTTCATTTATCGATCTGGTCATTTCATTGAAAGATGTTATCAAGTTGATTAAGCATAACTTCCCCACTAGTAATCCATGCTTACCAAGTTAGTTTTTCATGTGTCTGGAAGCAGTTTCCAGATTTAGTTGTTCCATCACTTTCCCAGGGACTGAGACGAGGCTGACGAAATTGTATTCTTCTTGATTACTCTTAGTCCCCTTTTCTCAAACCATGACTTTAGAAGGCCAAGATTTCTGTTTTACCAATCTGAACGTGTTTGAACCAGTATAAGAATTGCATCCTTTTTGAAAGTAGTAGAACCTTGAGCACTGGGATTAGTGAATGTAGTGTTCCTCTGGCTGCTTAATTTTGGAGACCTGTGTTGGTATAGCAGATGCTTTCCAGTCTATCTGACTTAATGTTCTTTTCTTTCTTAAGGTCTTTCCCAAAACTAATCAGGAATGTTCAGTGCTGCAGACGAATTATCTCCCTTATGCAGTGTTTATTTTTCTTCTTTTATGGTTTTTTTTTACATGTAGCCAACTAAGCAAATAAAAATTCGAAACACAAGTTCATTTCGAATTATTAAATATCTGATAGTAAGCCAAGGTTGTAGAGTGTACTTTGTGGTTCTTCAGAAGTAAAAGTTGAAACATATTTTTGTAGGTCCAATGATAAATTAAGTTCTGGAGAAGAAAGTGAACAGAGAGGAGGGGAACCCCATTGGAACCTGAGGCCAGACCTAATGAGACTTACTGGGAAAACAGATTATCCTGAAGAGTGTGGAAACAGGGAAGAGGACAATACTGAGAGAAATGAAGAAGAGTTTTTGGTGTTGTTAAAAACAGGTGTATCAGGGGTAAGTGCTGATCATGTATTTTGAGCCAGTTATACCTCGATTCTTTTGCCCAAGTTTTTAGAAGGATAGGTGGCACAGAAATCCAGTATGTGGCTGGAAAATGTTAATGTGATTATTTGATTTTTTTAAAAATTCACTATTGGAAACTATGCTGAATAAATGGAATTAGAATTTAAAAAAATTCTAATTTTTTAAAAAAATTAGAAAAAAACCTGTGGAAATACCTAATATACACTGTTGTCTTAAGTTTGATGGTTTATGTGATCAGAAATTTGCATTATAATAAATACATGCTTATGCTGTTGAAAAATAATTTACTGTTTTGTTATTCATTGAACAATGGAAATTAAGGCAGTTACCTTAACCTCAGATATTACCTTAAATCTGTTATTATACTTAGAAATTAAAATGAGTGCGAACAAAGTTCAGACCTTCTTAAATTTGCTCAGCAGGCCTAACTTAGCCCAGACTAGTTCCAACTCTGTCTAAAGCTGTGATAACTGAGTCAACTTTGTCTGGTGTTCCCTATTTTTTATATGGATCACTAAACTTCTAGTTAACATATTCTTTTAGCCAAGTATCCATTGTTGACAGAACTGTGGTTGCTGATGTTTGTCTACATATATGTTGAATAATATTTAAATGCTTTTATATAGAGTATGATAGCTTTTTTCCCTATCTTGTTCCCAAGGTAGAAAAAAATTTTCATTCCTGCAAATTGTTCTTTAAATTAATAGGTAATTTTAGAAAATTATTCATCTTTCCAGCTTCTAAAGAATTGTTCCTCTTGATAAATTGTGCATGGTGTTGGTCTATTAACTACCAGCAGCACTGGGAATTCAGGTATCATAGATAACACCAGTTAATAACACCTCTGCTATAGAACCCAAAATTAAAGACAGTGAGGAAGAGTATGCTAAGTTATCAGAGATGACAGCTGGGCACATTCTCAAGATCCTCAAACTAAGTTCTTTAAGTCACCAAAACCATTTACAAATGTTTGGCATTTAATACGGTAATAATAATCTCCTCTGTTCAGGAAAACTTCAGTAATACAGTGGAAGCTGGATCCTTCTCAGAAGCTACAAGGAAACACAGTTTTGCGGAGAATGTTGAAGAAACATGTTGCAAGAGAATTAGGCAGGACACCACACTCCAGTCTCCAGAGATATTGTCAGAGAGTGAGAGACACGTAGAACAAGATAAAGATTCTCAGCTTTCTACCTCACAGGAAAAGCATTCAGGAAATCTCACGAGGTAAAACAACTGTTTTGCTTTATAAACCAAACTCAGTTGATTGAGAGTTATTGACTATAGGTCTGCCGTGAGTAATGTGAGTGCATACAGCATGTCAGCTTTTGTGTCTTCCATCTGAACTTAGCAGATGTTCCTTTGTCTCTTACTCTGCCTGTATTCTCATAAAATGAACACAGCCAGCACTCTCACCAAGCTATCTCATGGTTTCAACAGAAATTCCTGATTTTATAGGGGAGGACATGAGAGTACCCATTTTTGGGGGCACAGGGATTGTGGGATTAACCTGAAGAGAAACTTTGTGCTGGTAGTGTCCTCTGGTACCATTAGCTTCCACTGTCCACCAGTTTACCAAGGAGGATATTTTGGGGGGAAAGTTTGTAATTGCTTTTGGTACTCAGAGTGGTTGTGCCCATGATTTTGAAGAAGGAATCTATAGGTAACTGATTATTGAAGAGAATGTTGTCTGAGAAACCAAAGCAGGTAAGTAGTTACCACCTAACAGTTTCAATTTGTAAACAATAGTCTGATCAATTAAGGTATCATAGTTTGGGGCTTCTAGTCTAGCTTTAGCAAACAACAACTGGAAGTGTTCCTATGACTTAAAAAGTATGTGTCTTCCACATTCCTCAAAATTAAATGATTTCATACTTTTCTAATCAAAGAATTGTGTATCTTGTAAGTTTAATTGTGAACATTTCTAGCATTTTGAAACTGCTTAGTACGTATTTGCAGTAAGTACCTTATGTACACAGGAAGAAATTAAATTTCTGATTAAATATTTATTTGTCACTATTAAGTTAAGAAGTAAATAGTTTGCATTGTTAGTCACAATGACAACTTATTTTTTTTAATTTAGTTTATTTTGATTTGTAGTCTCCTTCTCTTTGGAAGGTCTTGGATTTCATTGTTTTTGTTCTGTACTTTAGAAGGCAGTTCAGGAGATCATCAAAACAGACAGCGCTGCCACAACATGTGTTGGAGCCAAAAACTGCTACTTCTGCCTCTGAATGTGAGGCTGATTGCAGTGAGAAGGGGAGTCAAAGGCAAGAAGCTAAACTGAGTGTTACCAGAGACAAAAGTTTGAAGACTACACAGAGAAGAAAATCTGGGAAGGAACCCAGAAGTTCGAAGATAACCTTTGTCACTCTCCGGGCTTCTCAAGAGGAGGAGGAGGATGAGGAGGCAGATGACTTTGAGCTTGATGATGAAGATGAATGCTTTGCATCAGAGGAAGTAAACAAGGCTCCAGTGTTTGTTCCTATAGGTCTTCGATCTCCAAAACCAATTCCTATGCAGATACAGGAAACCGTGGAGGAGGTATTGTGTAGCTGGGTTCTGCAAATGTAATTTTATTCTGATTGTTTGAAAAGATTTTATTCTAATTGTATCTCTGGGTATTTGGGTTTTATCCGAGTTCAAGGTAAGAATGGTGTTGAGAGTAGCAGGGATGTTACTTGGCACATACATTTGGTTTTGAACTTAAAACTGCATAAGCCTAAAATCCAGTTATGTAATTATGTTTGCAAGCTGTATATAGGTCTGCAGGGAACTCAGCAATTTGTTTATTGGGATTGAATATAGGCCCAGACTTGATGCTCATCCATGTGTTTTGGGGCCCAAGATGGGTCAAATGGAGCACTTCAATTTCATATTTGAATGTTAGGAAATGAGGGTATGAGGAAAATGTTTCTGTATGTCATGTCCCCCTTGCCAAGAAACTTTTAACTGTCAGCAGTTAAAACCTGACCTGAAGCCAGACACACACATCTGCTTGCTTACTCCCTTTTCCTGTGGGACAAGGAGAAATTAGGAGGGCAAGATTTCTCTGTTGATATAAAGACAGTTATATACATGAAGGAAAAGCTGCATGTAAATGAAAAGCAAAATAAGGAATTTGTTTGCTGCTTTCCACTTCTTGGAAATCAGGGCCTCAGTCTGTGTAAGAGTAAGTTGGGAAGACAAATGCCCTAATCACAAATGCCTTCCTCTTCTCCCACCTTGCCCTGGGCTTTTATTGCTGAGTGTGTCATGACAGGATACAGAATTCCCTGTTGATCAGCTGGGGTCAGCTGTGCTAGCAGTGTACTCTCCTGACCTCTTGCTTACCCCTGACCTCCTTGCTGGGTAAAAGAATAGGAATAAAGCTTTGACATGATGCAGGAATAGCAAAAACACTGGTGTGTTACCAACTGTGTTGTAATTAAAAATCTAAAAGACAGCATTATGTGGGCTGGTATGAAGAACATTAACTTCATCCCAGTTATGGCCAGTACAATCTTCATCCTTTATTTCATACCATTTGTATCATGCTTAGGTCTTACACTATCCAGTAGAAGACATTTTTCTATTATTTTCCCCATGATCACTATTTTCCTTTCACTTCAGTGCTATTTGCTTTCTAGTGGTTTTTTGCATACCACTACTGTAGTCCTCTTCCTCTCTTTGTCCATTGAAATCCTGCTTTTTATTGTCACCTGAATGAATCACGCTGTTTCTTTCTCCGTGTGAAACAGCAGAATAATTTAATGTTCAGTCAAAACACAGAGGGATTTCTAGAACGATAATTGGCAGCAAAGTTGCTGTATGGAAACTGTTGCTGAATCCTTGATTTCAGAGATGTGGAATGTATATAATTTGTGGGGATTACAATCAAGTTGCCTAGTTTAACGCTTAGGAGACACGAGTATTAGTGAGGAATGTGGTTAGATACCCAAGGACCTAGTTGTTGTAAAATTTAAATAGGTCAGTCGAAAGTCTGTAAAGTGCAAGTCTTTGAGAGCAACCCAGATGGAGCAGTGTTTTCTGTAAGAACTTCCCTGGAAATATCATCGACTTCCTGTAAAATTTCAAGTCCTCATTTCTGAAAATGTCAAATGTCTGAAGTTCTCAGTGAAAACACATTGCTGAGGAAGAAAAAAAATAGGTGAAATAGTGAGTGGGTATGTTCCTGTGTGTCAGCATATTGATTCCCTATCTTGCTTTGGAAATAAGTCTGTACTGTTTTTCCATCCTGAAGACGTGAAAGGCAGAAAAAGAGTAAAACTAAGAAAATCCATTTGAGGTAAACAGTCACTATAAAAGATCTCAGCTGCATAACTTAGTTCAGTGGAGAAGTGAGTGACTAGAAGCAAGGCCGTAGGTTGTCTGATGCTTCCACTTAGCTACAGGTAGTGGTACTTGTTCTGCCTTCTGTTCATACCACTGCTTCCTTCTCAAATCAGAAGGTATGATTTTTGCAGAGGATTTCTCTAGATGCTGAACATCTGTTAAATATGTGAGGTTTATAAAAATTTGCATTTGACAGATTTTCTTTTGCATTTGATGAACTGAAATACTTGTAATTACTTTTACAGCTGGAAATATCTGTGAATATACCAGATGTGCAGGTGGCTACTGATGCTGAAAGTCTTACTTGTGCTTCTATCCAACCAGTAGTACAGAGGGAAGGAGAAAGCACCTCAACAGCTGTAAGAATGTCTTTTGTTTGTTTCATTGGTCATACAAGGCTATTTCAGCAGTCTCTTGTTGCTGGGTCTGAATGTAACTGTATAGCTTATTAGATTGGTACCTGTCCCACACAGATGTGAGGCATACCTGTGGGAAAACTGTGTTAGTAAATATTGTAAGCCTTAAAACCAGGGTAACTTGTGGGCACAGAATTTATATGTAAGCATTAAATAAAAATTACGGGGTCATTTTATATAGAACTTTGATATTGTTTTTCTTTGTATTTAAGGAAACAATCATACATGAAAATCCAGATGTGGACAAAGGTAGATATGAAACAATCTTGCTCATGTATTTCCTGTTAACTTGCTACCAATATACATATTTTCCCCCTTTCTTAAAATATGTTTCCAAAGGTGCCACCATCTTGGCTGACAGGCTCAGCTGTGTCCTGCAGTGGGTCAGCTGGAACTGGCTGTGTCCAGGGCAGGCCCCTGCTGCCAACACCTTGCCACCTGTATCCAGTATACCCTTAAAGGCAGTCATGTTGCTGCTCACTGTTTCAACAGTAGTTTGAATTTGCTGGATGAGAATGTCTGCTTGTCTACAAGCATTTTAATTCATAAATAAGGTCAATTAAAAAAATACGTACTTCACTGTAGTGGTAGTAGCGTCAAATTTTGAAAATGGATAAGTGGATTTCTGGTTAATGTGCTTGTGACTTTTAATGTGTGTGAACAACTTCACAGGAATTAATGATGGAAGCACTGAAGCTGCTATGACTTTACTTGCAATGGGTGATCCAAATTTCCAGTTAAAAACAAGCACTGAAGGTATGATCTGATTTATGGGACAAAGCCTTGCTCTCGTGCTTTCTGGGTCCACCTAAGGAGGGATGGAGCAGTGGCTGCAAAGTTCTTCCACATGCTGCTGCATAGCAGGAGGTCAAGAGTCTTTTATGCTTTTAGTCCTGTTGCATTGTAGCATGTAGTGAGTCCAGCCAATACAGGCTGGCTGGAAAGAGGCAGGCACCCTACTGAATACTGCCAACTGTACCACTGCTAAAAAGTTGTTTCTGTGACTTGTTTTAGAAAGCACATGTTTAAATTGATCTGGGCACATAAACTGGACAGAAGAGAGGGATCAAGCTTAAATGAGTGTAACTTTCAGTGATCTTTTCAGACTTTTAATGTGAAGCATAGCCTTTTCATCCTAACTAGCTACAACCTGAAATTACCTGGGTTTGTTACAGATTTTGCATAGCATTTATTATCTACTTCTGTTTGCTGAACGTTAGTTTTTGTGTTCTTACTACAAAAACTGTTCTCTTAGGACTGTGTTTATCTGGGATTTTAATCTGTCTTTGGAGAATACAAACTTCGTTAAATGAGGCTCGAAGTTATATAGCTTTATATCTACGCCAAACCTGAGTGTTTTAAATGAAATTTTCCATTCTGTTTATTGTTATAACCAGAACAGACACATATGTTACCTGCTCAAGATGACTTGGACATGGCTCATAGCCTGGTAATTCACGCCTACTCCAAAGAAAATAGAACTTCTAGTCAGTATTCACTTGCTTCAGATACTTCTGTCAAGGAATTGCTGCCTTCTGAGGATGGAAACAACATCAATGTAGAGCATCAAATCACTGGCACAAGAAGAGGTGTAGAGATGGATGCTACTGATACCAGGTTATATTACTACTTCATTTACTTTAGTGGGAGAGGTCTTCTGGCACTACTTACTTTTGCTAGGTTCTGTCTGGCATTTTTATTGATTTGCAAGCAGTCTTGCTTAAGTAAAGGTTTTTCCGTTTATGTAATTTAATATGTAATCTGCAAAAACTCTCGTCTGTTTCTTACTACTTTCATGAAGTGTTTGTATGTAATTTTGGGTATCTACAACTGTTTTTCTCTCATGAAATTATGTTTACCCAGGGAAGAGGGGGAGAAAAAAAATCAAAACTAATGATGTACTGGATCACTCTTAATTATCAAGCTCTTTCTTGCAAAGTTCTCTACAGCTAATCAGACCAAGGCAAATTGCTTAAGTGTTGCTGCTGTTGTGGGGATGTAGAGCAAAGATTTAGAGCAAAGGGATGGCAAGAAACCAGTTGATCTTCTATCATTATGGTTTTAGTGAATGGTCATTAATAATTTTTGCATTTGTGAATTACATGACAGCTTAGTGGGACACTTTCCCAGAGAAACATCTGCTGGTGATCATGTATTATTTGAAAGACTATTTAACTTGTTGACCGCTTGAGCAAAGTATGAGATTATGGTCTTTGAAAAATCTTAATCAAGATAATTTATTTTGCATCCAGTTTAATTGTATTATTAAACCAGAACTTAGTACCATGTCATATGTATCAGATTTCTGATCTTCTCCTATTATTCAAACATTTCAATTTTTTTTTTTTCAATTCCTTTGCATTAGAAACATACTACTTGGCAGCACACCTGCCTGTTTCAATTTGGACATGATTTTTAGTTTTTTTGTCCTACCAGGTAGTTCTGTCTTCTCTGCCAGTTGCAGCCTGCATTTCAGATCTTCATTGTCTGATCTACCCCATATCTATTATATCATCTCTTCACTAACTGTCAAAAGTTAGGGACTCTATTGATGACGTATTTCCTTTTACTTGTAGTGGCAGCTCTTTGCCTACGGTGAATAGTATGAGACTGACAGGAGGCAGACACCTGGAGCCTGAGCCAACCTCTCCAATACTGAGGTCCAATGAAAACATAATGCAGGAGATACTTAATGCAAATGTACTTGTAGAAAAACTAGAGCAAATTCAAACTGGTAAGCCTATTTCTTATCATAAGGCTCTGAAAATGGTTATTTGATAGATTCACATCTGTTTATGAAGTGAAACAAAGCTGAAAGTCTTCACTTTCCATTCATGTTCACAGATGATACATTGCCATTGTAATGAAGGGTACCCATTTGTGATACTGTTGTATACATGAGAATACTTTTCAGTATGAAATTAAATGAAATTTGAATAGCAGGTTTTTTCTGCAGGTATTAAAATACCTGGAAGGCACTTAAATTACTGGACTGCCAATTACAGAAATACAGTCAAATACAGGGTACTTGTTTTCTATTATTACTGTCTTTTCCTTCCCCATTAAAAGTAGAAGAGGAGATAGGAAAAACTGGCTTTCTATTCTTAAAGTAGTTGCAAAAAAGGTAGTCTTCAAACTCTTAATTGTCTTCATACCCCTGGCAAAATAGGAAAGGCAAGATGAGATATGTGTATGTGCCTTATTTATATAAGACACAAGTATACGTGTGCATATTAATGTATATATGTCTATATAAACATACTACAAAACTTTAATTTATACAATATTATATATAAAAAGTAATACAAATATATATATACACCCACAGACTGAAAAGACAATATTTTAATTTTTATTCTTATAAAACTTAGATCCTACAACCTTGAGGGATAATGCAGAAATGAAGAAGGTGGAACCAGAACCAGTCAGACCAGCTGCACGTGACTCTTCAGACCTTCATGACTTTGCATCTGGAAGTACAGAACTTACCAAGCAAGTAGAGAAAACTGAGAGGTAAGACAACTCATCATTTAATACTGACTTTATTCCTACTGTCTCTTAAAATATGCAGCTAAAATTCAGGTGTAGTGTGTGACTGTAATGGAAAAAGTGTGCTCACAGAAACTGTGTATGTGTTTATACAGGTAGTGTACCGTTCAGGTTTCAGGTTTTTCTCCCTTACATATTGTGCTACAGCTTTTGGAGATAGAACATTAACTTTTGTTTGCTATTTCAGAGCTTAGTAATTACCTTGCTGCTTAACTGTCTTCCATGAAACTGCAGGAAATGTTAAGGAGTTGATTAATTTAGAAATGTTAATGAGCTTATAAGGCTTCCTTCTTGATTGTACTTTCAGTAGGAATGTCTCCATCAGTGAAGTTACAGAGGCCTTTCTGTGAAATTCTTTATGTACATTTGTTCAAAGATTATGTGTTCTGTTTAGTACAATGATGTAGTCTTTAAACAGGCGCTTTGTTTCCCTGTAATTACACATTATTCATGTTAAATACATTGTAACACAGAATTTAGCATTGCACAGGGTATCTTCATCTGGTTTTTAATTAACTAGATATATACCTTGCAGAACAGAAAAGCAGATAAGAGATGCTTGTGGAAATTCAGGAGATTTAAGACATCTAACTGCATCACCAAAACCTGAAAAATCACACCTTGGACTAGAAGATTGTCCAAATCCAAGTTCTGTGGATGAACTTTCTGAGCAGAGTCCTTGTCCTCTTGAACACCATATATGTAGAGTCAACTTTACTCAGGTAAAGAACAAGAACTTAATTACAGTCCATAAGTGCCCAGATTTTGAAATTCTGTAAAGAGGTTTTCAGTGCAAATATACTCACCGGTTCTAAACGCCTGGTACTTCAGCTGGTACATGAAACTTTCTGTTTCACAGGGGCATGTCCAAACAATCTTCCGGACGAACTTAATCTTTGCAAACTCTGTTTAGAACGTTTCAGTAATAAGTGATGCACATTAGCAAAATTGTGAAGAATTTTTAAGAAGTCTTGGTGGAAGAAGTTACCTAGGATTCTTGTATCTGTTCAGTGTGACCTCTTACTGTTATATTTGTTTACATTAAAATGAAGTTTAAATGTTACTGCTTGTATGGAGCATGTTCTTTGTTTAAAACAAACTTCATTCTTTTTTATGCTCTTTCTCGTTTATTAAAAAAAACCAAGAGCTTTACATGCATGTTATTATATGACATACACAAATTTTGCATATTTTTACATATATCTATATCATTTATATCATCATCATGTATGTTGTTATGGGTACACAATATGTCTTTCACATCCATTTCATTCCAGCGGCTGGTGTGTCCATGTTCTAGTATAAATGAGAGTTACCTTATTTTTGTCATGAGGGAAAGGTTCATTCGCAGTTCCCCGGGGTTTCTAGTGTTGTCTGAGATCAGTGAGCACAAAGTTAGATTGTAATGGCTGATCATAGAAACTTGTTTCCTGAGTGCAGTGGGTTGCTGTGTCAAGGCTGATTTCATATTAGGACTACCTGCAAGAAGGATGTTGCTCTTACAGGCCTGGCAGAGAGAGTATGAGAAAGGGCAGCTTGCAGTAGAGCTGGTTCAATTAATTCCTGGTTTTAGCAAAGGGACAAGATGTAGAAGTGAAGGGATAGATGAGCTGTAGATCTTCATGTTTTTATTTGGCACTCAGTGGTTTGTTAAGGGTTGTAGGAATCTGCTTTCTTAGTGCTACTGAACAATTTATTGTGTGAGTCATCTCTGACAGAATTGTGCTGTAGGAAGTATAAATTTTATTTTGACAAAATATCAGTACAGACAACAAGCTTCATATAAGTTTTATATTGCCCTAGTGTTTCTTGTCCTTGTTAGGCTAATGAAACTCTTCAGCCTAGAACAGCTAGAAGTGAAAACTGACAAATGAAATAATGATGATGTGATTTGATTTTTTGGATCTTCAGCATTTGACAGCTCTATTTCTTCCTGTTTCCTAGAGTAATTTCCCAGATTTATTAAGTTGTTTTATTTCAACTGTGTTGTTTCTAGAATGAAGCTTGTACTCAGGATGCTCAACGACATTGCATAAGCAGCACAGAAGAAACATCAGGTATAATGTGCTAATATTCAAAGTTAACAAAAGCCCACATTTGTTTATCTTGTGCTTACTAAAAGAAGAATAAAACCCTAAAATTTTCATTAAAAAAAATTAAAATTTTCATTTACATGATTAATCAATCTATTCCATTAACACAAATAATGATCCACAGCATAATGACATTCCTCTCCCTAGCCTCTTGTCTTTACATTTTGTTAATGGAAATGAGACTTGGGAACTATTTGAATAGCCCTTCATTAAGTTTAAGTATCAGTGGAAGGGAAACTTGCTCTCTTTGCCCTGTTGAGAGCTCCTGCTGCTTACCCTGTGGTAGGTATAGTATATAGTTTTTAGAGTCTTTTATGCACCTCTGACTCACCCAACAAAAACTGAACATGATAGAAGGCGAGAAACTGTAGTTTTCCACTGGCTTAGTGAGCTATAGTTGCTCATGAAGTTATCAAGTGAATGCTGTTGTCAGAGTTCTGTGAGTAGGAGGGCTGTACTGAGCAAGTGTGGAGCAGACAGAAAGAAAAAGAGGGGAAGTGTAAAACAATCACACTTCCTTCTTTAGCTGTACTGAGTCAACAGATTAATGCCTAACTGATCAAGTATGATGAAAGTTGTGAAGGTGATGTCTGCTGTTCCCTAGAACATATTGAAATGGTTGGTTTCAAACCACTACTTGTCTAACATATGGGATAGTCACAGTGACAAAAGCCCAGAATACTTACTTTACATGGAAACTGTAGTCCAAACCTGTAACTCATGAGCTTCTGCAAAAGATCAGTCTAATACTTCTTTTTAGATGTCTGTTGCTATGCTCTGTTATTGCAAGAATCTTGGGGTGAAGCATCTTAAACCCTATTTAATCCAAGCAAGCTGAGATTGGATTAACAGCTTTACCTCCTTGAGAGCTGTCTTAAATAATGGAGTACCATTGTTGTTTTCCATCTTTTGAAAACTTTACAAGTGCTTGTTCCTTAAATTCTAGCAGATGGCAGCTGGCAGTTATCTGTTAATGTCTGTTGACTAAATTATCTCTGTTTTTCATCTTATTAAATTCAAGACTGTGCTTCTCAGATCCTGTTCTGCCAGTCTGCAGTGAGGGGAAAAATCCTGTGCTTACCTTCAAAATAGCAGACATCTGCCATTTAAAGAAGTAACTCTTAATAACTGAGAGTTAAAATTGAAGACAGAGGGCCACTTAACCACTATGACATAAGTTTAATTAAACTGCAAATTGCTCTTTAATGCTAGAACATCCTTTTAAAATCTTCATCATTACCAGGCATTTTTAATATTCCTCATTCTAAATGGTAATCAGGATTCCTCTGCAGTGAATAAGCACCAGGAGATGATGATGTGTATCTCATCGGGGAGGTCAGGAAGCTTATTGTCTCAAGAACATGCCCAGTGCCTTTTTCCGTGGATAAATGAATGCCTAAAATTTCAGTACTCTGTGTAGGGAGGACATGAAGAGAACAGCATAATTTCATGTTTGATTAATAGGTTTTTTGTTATTTATTTCCCTGAAAAAACTATAGCAGTGAATGATGATCATAGATGTCCAGAGGAAGAGCAGACATTCATTTTAACATTGGTGGAAATCCCAGCTGGCTCAAAAGAGTTTGATGCATCTGCTGTGGTGGAACAAACTTCAGAACCAGTACTACCAGCCCCAATACTTATCAGCCCAATAAATGCGAGTCAAACAACTGTGACTGAAGTGGAGAGGTAAATGCTTTATTTTTTGTCAGAGTGAAACAGTTTTTGTATACCTTGATTGTTCTCTGACTGTGTAGTACTGATTAGAACTTCTTAAAAGAAGAAGTGCAAGAGGAAGTAATTTTGACGGATGGCTAGAGAATTAAGAAAGCGAAAAGGGCTCTAATTCAATTTGAGGAAGATTCTATACGTGTTTTAAATTTAGTGTTTTGGTTAGCTGGGATATGGTGTCATCTTAATTCTGATTTACGCTTTAGAGTAGGTCTTCCTTTTTAGTAGAAGTCATTTGTCCAGCTTGAGCTTTACTTTGCCTTGTGGATACTTACAATGCAGAGCAATTGAAATTAAAAAATCTAAGCATGTTTGCATTTTACAATACTTTAACAGTTTCGTAGAGTAGCTGTTTATTAATTGCTTGTCCAGATTTTTCATGTAGATGGTTTTCTGGAAAACATTATAAACAGTAGATGTAAATTCTTGCTGTCTTGAGTTTGCTGTTCAAAAGGCAGACAAGATGAAAACACAAACTAATTAATTACTCCGAAGAATAATAGCTGGTTTGTCTACTGTAATCCAAAAGGGTTTGAATTTCTTTTACAAAGAGTACCTCTGCACACAGTGTAATAAAATTTTTATGTCAACATTACAGTTGAACTAAATCTCTTAGTCCATTTGGGAGAAAAAAAAAGGAAAAAGACATTATGAAAAATGAAATTGTTGCAAAGTAGTAAAAAAACCGCAAACGCTAATACTGTAGTAATGAAACTACTCAGATCATAACTAGAGTGTGATGCAATTCCACATAATTGTGGAGAATCTTGCCCTGTGATATCAGATACTGATATCATTCCTTTATTGAAAGGGTAGGTCTTTGAGTGAATGTTGGCTACACAGTGTAGTAATTCTGACTCCCATGGAACTACTTATGATAAACAAGTCATGACAGGCTAAGTTAGAGTACATGTTCTGTCTTGCTGTCCCTGTGCTGCTTGACCATATTTTCCTAGTCTCTGCTGCTTCTCTGTATGTCTTACATATGTCTGTATGTCTTTTGAGATCATACAGCATGTGGGGGCTCAACTGTGCAGATAAGTAATACTGCATTATAGCATTTTTCTAGGGCAGTTAATAAGTTGCCATATTTTTGCATTGTATGAAAAGACCAAGTGGAGTTCAAATAGAACAGCTAAACTAAGTTCAATATGACTAGAAAAACTAACTCCAGATAGCACAACAAATTGTTTCTTGGTAGTAAATAGTACATTTGTAGTTAATATTGACATTAAGCAAGAGAGAGTATCACCAGAGATTCATGTGTAATTTCCACACAGAAACTTTATACAAGTTGGCTTCTTGTACTGTCACAATAATGACTTTATATATATAAACAGTATTGGATCCTTGACAACTGCAGCTGGTAAGGTTGCTGGACCTTTAAACAGCAGTATGGAAACCAAACAACTAGAGAGTGCAGTAGACCCTGTTCCAAAGCTGCAGACAGCTCAGAAACGGTTGGCTGCGGAACTTGAAGAGCATGATTTTCCTCCTTCCAAGAAAATTCCATCTACTGTTGCAGTGGAAAATAATCTGGAAACTACTTACAAGGTGAGATCATAATTTGATGAGTTTTCATCCATGGGGTAGATGCATAACACATAATAGAGCATTTTAATTATGTTTCTTTTTTAATGGCGTCACTTGCTTAAATATGTACTATATATGCCTATACAACTTAAAGGAAAATCAACACTATGGATTGCTTTTAGTTTTTAAATCTACAACCGGTTTTGGGTGCTTGTTTATTTATTGTTAAGGTTTTTTGAGAATCTGTAGGCTCTCAGGTGTTTTTTAATTAGACTTCCTAGTAGACAGACTGGTAATATGTCTTACTTGGTTCATTCTGCATCACCCTTATGACAATGGCATTGCAGGAGAGGAAACTGCAGGTATATTGGGAGGCTAGCAGGATGTCTACGTTCACTGAATGATGTTTTGAATCTGCATTGTGTCTGTTACATGAAGAAGCTCTTCAATATATTCCTATTGATTCTTAACATAGCAGGTACTAGTTTAAAAGAGCAAGCTGCCAGTGAAAACAAGCCACCATCTTTCCAGCATCCTTCTGTGCTTTTTTACAATATGACCAAGCTTATGGCATCAACTAATTGATTTTTATAAGTGGGCTAAGATTGTGTAGTGTACCTTGGTGTAGGAATGGGTGGTAATTCCCCAGATGATTCAGAGAGCTTTTCTAGGAAGTGATGGATAACAGTCTTCTTCTTTGATCTCTTATCTCAATATCCTTGTCTTGAGTAATTTGTCTTAAGAACACCTTGAAAAGCCTGTTTAGGAAATGAGTTAAGTGATGAATGATGCTGCAGTGTCTTCTGTATCAGTCCTGCTCTTAGAACTGTGCATGTGTGATATGAGTTTATCAACTTCATTGTCTCTTCTGTACTGAGAGTAATAAAAAACCCTCTTTTTTTTTCTTTTTTAAATACAGGATTATTCAATTAAATCCACAGAGGTGCCAGAGGTAACTTCTGGTATGTGCAGTATGTACACTTAAACTTGTAAACCGAAGTATAATGAATGTAAACACATCACAACTTAATAGTGGTTGTCATGCTAAATAATTCTGTCTGAGGCCATCTAATACAAAAGTAGAAACAAGTTTTCTTCGTACTACACTAATACCACCATTCCATGCTTTCTGCTGTAAACTAGGTGTGCTGAACTACATAAATGTTGATTATTTAATAATGGTTTTAAAAGCATTGCTGTAGCTAGTTTATTGGTGAAATTTGAGAGGTTTTTTTGACTAAACATGTTATCTTCTCTTAAGCAAATATTTCCACCTGTTAAAAAGCACAAATAATCAAAAGTATTAACTGGCATTTTAACCACACAATGCCAAAATAGTTTATTTTTATTTTGTTTTGAATTTTTACTGAAAAAGTATGGAACTGTTTAGGAGTCTAATCTGCCTCTGAATAAACAGAGAATAAGCAGAACTACTGATAATGCAATCTTCATTGATCTGAGCCAGTGAAGGGCTTGGTGAACTATAATTTTGGCTCTGAAAAAGACTTCTAAGGGAAGTTGTAGAAGGTTAAACAGCTAGGTAACTAAGTTCTGTGGTGTGTTATAAAGGATGGGGGGCAGGGGGGGAGTGTGCTGTAAAATTTGAAACCACAATTCTACCAGCTTTTTCCCATAACATCTCTATGATCTTACAGGCTTTAAAAGTAGACCACGAACTTTTAATTTGTAGTGGTGACTTATGAATATAAATGGACAAATAAAACTAAACAAAAATTCAGCCCTTCTGCTGTAATGGTTCAAACCATTTTAATATCACATTTTTTGGGCCCTTGTATTATGACTGAAGTCTTTGACTCTCAACTCCTTTTACAGGGAATCCTTTTCAAAAAATAGAGTCTTCAGCAAAGGGAAAAGTACTTACTTCTGTATTGGTGTCTGAGTCTATCTCACAACTGGCTGACAGAAGCCAGCTTGAGACTTTGGAGAGCTTAGGGAAAGCACCACTTGAGAATGCAGCATCTGAAAAGGAAGAGGAGGTTATGTCTAGGTTAACCTCTAACAGAAGAGCAGAAGTAAGTGGACAAGGAAAGCAGGAGAATGTGCATGATTCTGCACAGTTGGAACATACTAGAAGCCCAGCATCATCTTCAAAAACTCCATTATTCAGGTATCCAGTAATTGCAATAATGTTTTGTCAACTTGTTCTGTAAAAAAAGATCATGTTTCTATATTAACATCTTTTCAGTACCATTGTTTGTGACCTGCATGGCTAAGAGTTACAGTATCTATACTCTCCTGCAAATCAGAAACCATCAAACTGTCTGCTTTGAAATTTGTCATATTATACTCATTAAATGAGTAGATCAACTGAAGGGCACTATTGGCATACTGTGTGTCTGTTCAGACATGATAGATTCCTTTTGTCAGGCAGGCATCCATTAGCTATGATAGGAACTTAGGATAATTTGTTGTTTTCCATAGGTAAGTCTCATGTTGTGAGATATTTACCCATCCACTTGTTTTGGTATTTGTCCTGCCAGTAAGATTTGTTACTGGTACAGTAGTGAGCACACTGAATTTTTATGACTGACATAAATAATTACCCTAAAGGAGTTTCAATCTTGGCAGCTCAGAGGATATTCCTCTTACCTATATGCTGGCTTGATTTTTTAAATATACCTTTCTGTACTGTTTGTTTAAATGTTTTGAATTCATGTTCTCCGTTGCTCCTGTGTTTAATTATTTTGAATGTAATGCTCCACTGCCCTCTTCTAATCTGTCATTTACTTTTTCATTATGCTTGTGTGAGTACCAATATTGTCTATTTATATTTGGGACATCCACAGCAACTGGATAGTGATGCATTAATATGAGAATTCTTGCCTTAAAGTTTACTTTCTAATTTGTAAACTCTTAACAACATGGAAACTTAATGCTTTGTGTATCTCCCTCAGTGCTGTGACTTCCAGAAGCTCACTGGTCTGGGTTTGCTGCTGTAAATAGGCTAAAACCCTGCAGCAGGTAGTCTGCTGTAGCCCCATCCTTGGGGATTAGGTTGTCCATTGATTACATGAAGGATGCTCAGAATTTTCAGTTTGTTCTTCAGAAGTGTGCCTCCATCCTTCTTGGATCCACTCTCTGAAAGTCTGGTAGCTTGTTAGGGGCTGTGGATTAGCAGCAAATAATAGGTTCCTGTTCTCAGGCTTAAAAATTGTCAAGACTCTCTGTGACTGTTCAAAAAAACTTTTGTACCAGAATATTCAGTAATACCAAAGCCTGTCTCAGAATGACTTTTTGGGTTTTTTTTCCTTAGAATTTTCATATGTCCTGTAGGTATATGTTTGTTTCCTGTGTATAGAATTGGACTCCTGCAATGCTATTTATATCTTCCTTTTATGGAGCAGTCCTATGACATGCCGACTATATTTGTTTTGAACAGGGGTGGACGAAAACCGTTGGGATTTTTATCTTTAATTTGCAAAAAAAGTAATTCTGACTCTGCAGAAGACACCAAAGAGAATAGAGGGAAGATCCAGAAGCCACGAATTGTGACTCCAAAACGAAGTCTAAAGAAACCCACTCCCTCCACTGAGGATGAGAGGGAATCTTGTTCCTTTCCCTCTACTTCTTCATCTGTGGAACATGAGCATGTAGCTGCTGATGCTGCAGTTACGGTATGAGTTTACTTTTGAACAACTATGCATTTCTGAGATGTGAGGAACAGAGAATTAGTTTCAGGAGTGAGTAGATGGGTGTGTATCATTCATGTTTTGAGTCCAGTATCTGTTCCAGTTGACAAATTCTGACTTGTGCATGTTTAGGAAACTTGTAAGGGAACTAAGTTGATTTTTCTGTGCATGGATATCTATTTATTTCTCATTTTCAGTGAACTCTGATTTTTTTTTTTCCTTTGGTCAAAACTTCCTACATAAACAAAATACCCTTACAAATAGCTCACATGCATATATGTGTAAATATATTTACACATGCACACTGATGAAGACTGTTAAGAGCAACTTCTTCTTGTTTTATCAGGTTCCAAGTAACAACTCATCTGAGAAGCCACCTCTCTGTACTAAAGATCAAGAGAAGGAAGGAGAGCCAACCAAAATCTCTGAGTACTTTTTCAGTGACATCTTTATGGAAGTGGATGATTCAGAATAGCAAATGGGTTTTATAAAAACTAGGATCACAGAATATACTGCAACAAGAAAAGAGTATTTTAAAAGTTGCAATTTGTTCTGATATTCGTTATGCCACACTTTATGTCAACCAGTAATAACAGTACAGATAAAATACCAGGAAAGTGATCTCTTTAACATTCAGGGGAAACTGAACGTTCTCCAAAAGTGATGTAACAGATTCAAAGGAGAAGATGGAAAGGAAAAGCTGAAAAGCCTCATCTCCTGCTCCTCCTTTAACAAACTGGGTGCAATTACTAAAGCCCTGAAACATGCTATTGGAACTGGGACGCAGGGTTGGACAAAGAAACCATGAACCAAACATACCTTTAACAAGCTCCAGTACCTATGTAAACTCCCTATAAACCATTGTCACCGAGCCCAGCACAAGAACAACCCAAATCTGTGCCCCTCTACTGTAAAAGCTACATGTTAGGGACAATACTGGATCTGTCTCCAGATAAGAAAATAAGCCTAGGGACCAGAAGGGTATTAAAACCTCAAAACAACCTAGGGACCAGAGACAGGTAAAGGCCTCCACCCAGAGAGACATTGTGAATTCAAGCAACATGGCTACTGGCTGTTTTATCTCAATACAGAGTAAGTAAAACCAAAATGCAATCAGTACAGGCTTTTTTCACTTTTTTGAGCCACATGTTGGGCACAAAAAACAAAAGTATTTGTCCTGGTTTAGGGCACATTTGGAAGGAAGCTTTCAAAGGGGTCCCTCTAGAAAGCAAATTCAAGTGGGCCTCCCCTAACTGGTTTGTAAAGATTTCCTTGGAGAAAAGTGGAAAAAAATGTTTATTTAACGAAGTATTCACAAGCATAAAAAGTGAACAATACTAAACAATAAAACCTCTTGTTGTTCTGAAGAGATGGCACATTCAGAAAGTCCTTTTCTTGGGGTGTAGCTCAGCTCACTTGGTCTGTTACCAGTTCCTCCTGTGCTGGAAAATGCTGCGTCCTGGGCTCCAGTGGGTCACAAGTGTGAGGTGCTTGTGTTTTTCTGGGTTTGCAGTCCAAAGCAAGGCTGATCAGTTCCCGAAGAAAGAAAGGCCAGTCCAGGGAACTTCTCTGCTTCAGCTGGCTAAAAACTAAAAGCAAAGGAGAGCTCTCTCCTGCCCTCTGTCTGTTCTTCAGAGAACACAGTCTGTGAGAGAGAATGCAAAGGAGCAAGTGCAGCTTCTGATCACAAACTCTGCGCTTCTTCTCTCCCTCTGGTGCAGAACTTAATGTCCAGCATAAACAGAGCAGACAACTGGGGATACGAGCATCATGTTGTTAATTAATGCTGTGAAGATGAAATGTATTCTTTCTGAAGCCACCCAGGAACTTTCAAAATGCTGGCATAGTCTAAACCACTGCAATGATGTCATAGGACCAGACTATTTGCTGACTGCCAGCTTATGGTTTCCCTTGTTTAGACACTGATAGTGAGTGCATGACTATCCTACAGAAAAGTGCAATGAAATAATGTTTAATCTTGGAAAAAGTATCCTTTTCCATTTTAATGCTAAAGCTTCTTGGTACTGACTATTCAAGTTCTTTACTTCTTTTTGTGAAGTATGTTACGTTAGAAGGAGGAATTAACTTTTTGGGTATAATGTAATATCTGAAGATCAGAATACAAATATTGGAAGTGGTGTAGTGAATACATACCTATATACATCAAGCACTGCAGGTGTTTTTATTTAAATTTCCAAATTACATATTTTTGTAAGAGTTTTTTAACCACATAATTTAAAAGATCGTAACCTGAAAAGCCCATAGGATTGGTTCCTTAAAAATTTGTTGAAAATTTAAAAACACAGTTTACTAGAAGATGATAGATAACACAAGGTTAATGTTTGCAACTTTTTTTATCACTTGGAGGAGGAGATTGCTGTTTCCTAGTATAAATGCTAATTTTCTTCTAAATTGGAAAACAAAGCTAGAGATACAATTTATTTTCCTTATTTTCACGTGTCGTTGTTTGTATATTTACTGACTTCCTCATTTTCCCTTGTGCACAGTAGCACAAAGAGATTGGATTTAAACCATGATTATAAAATGTCACTTTTGAGGATTTGCTGCTTTGAAGCACTTGAATTAAAAGGGTTTTCTTATGTGCATGTCTGCTTGTACTGTAACTTGCCATAAAATTCTGGTTTAGCTTTAGATTTTAGTTTTAAGTTTTTATTTACCTCATCAAGAAATATATCTGGGTGAGGTAATTAGGTTTATGCACTCTCAAAGTTAGGTGGTTGCTGAAAGAGTCAATATTTAGTCTGAAACTCCTGCTTGCAGGAGCTTGAGTAGTCTTAAAATTTTTCCCATTACTTAATACTTGCAGGTACTTTCGTAAAGCAGTTTATTATGAAGCTGAAACTGATGTTTAAATAGTATTGTTAATGCTCTCAAGAGACCTATCATCAGGTTTGGACTGGGTAATCCTTTACTGGCAGGAAAATTATATAAATATGTAGTTAATTTTGAAATAGTTGATGAAGTTTGACAAACATTTTGATGGCAGGTAAAGAATATAAATATGTAGTTAATTTTGAAATAGTTGATGAAGTTTGACAAAACATTTGAGAATGTTTTTATTTTCAGAAGTTATTGGCAAGGCTTCTGAAGGAACCTTTAAACTTTTGTCAGAGAAGAGACATACAGAAAAAAAGCTACTGTTACTGCAGATTGGTATATTAGCTCTGCCAGTGAAATGTCACTAGCAGCAGTATTCCTTGAGGCGATGGAAAAGGGACTAGTGGTCCCAGTGTAGAGTAACTTACTTGAAAGCATCTGATCAACCCACCTCACTCCCCCAAAAAAACCGTCAAAAATACCAACAACAGTTTCTGTTCAAATGGTATCTTGTGCTTTGCCTAATCCGTTTAACTTGAAATGTTTATCTAAATATTGTTTTACTGTAAACATTATGAAAGAGATTAATGTATACATGTAACTCTATGTATTGTATGTCTTGTAGATATTAAGCATGCAAGTGTTTACTTCCTGATATGTCTGGCATGTTTATATCAATTGCACTCATAGAGCCTAAAAATAGATTCTTGGGGAGTGGCTATGAAATAATTGCTGTGAGTACCTTCTGAGTGGGTTCTGAGGGGATAATCATTCTACATTTAGTTGCATACATTTTAGCTTGCATTCATGTTACAAAGGGGAAAAAAAATCAACTATTTCATTACTAATATTTATGGTGCCTTATCTGCATTGTTAATTGGGGCTATGCTTTGTATTTCCTTGCAGCAAATACCATGCACTTTGTTAGAGGAATTTTTTTAAGAACAAATTTAATTTGAATAGAAATAAGAGAATTTTGTGTTTTGTTTTGTGTGTGGAAGTTTTATAATGATGAAGGATGTAAGAAAATATCGTTGAAATCTCAATACGTATGAGTAGCATTTTACAAAGAAGTGGCATAAAACTGCTTTGCTTAGAGTTGTCTGATGCCCTGTATGATCACATATAAGATTTCTGTGTCAAAGGAAGTAGTCCTATTCTGTATGTAAATTATGTGAATAAATTATTTTCTTTTACATGTGTTTCTGTTTCTTTAAGTATCAGTTGCAGTTTTAAAATACTTGGAAGTCCACAAAGCTAATAAGTGTGAACTAAAGGAAAAGCTGAAGTTTGGGCTGCACAACTGGGGTGCACACAGACCTGCTGGTAACAGGCTGATCATGGTTTAGCAGGGGTGTTGTCACTATTCCCTGGTTTTGTTTTAGAATAGAGCCTATTTTACTTGTTATCAGACTCCCCAGTGTTGCCTTTCTCTAAAGATAAGAGCCTTGACTTAAAGTAAAACTGGAATACTGAGGAATAGCAAAGTTTTCATGGAAGGGAGAAACTCGGCCAAAGATGGTTTGCATTTTAAAAAGATCTGTCCCTATTACTGTATGACAAGTTTCTAAGAAGGGCAAGGGCTTTCCTAGGCTGTGCGTGAAAACATGCAATTTTCACATGTGGGCGTCCCAACACAATTCTTCCAAAGGGCGTTCTACAGCATTAGCTCCGGAGGCCCGGGCTAGGACTCCGCGCCCGGGCCCGGCCCCGCTGTGCCCATTGGCTGCGCCGGGGGGAGTGGCGGCGGCGGCGGCCTGGGACGGCTGCCTCGGCTCGGCTTCTTCGGCTCGGCTTGCCCGGCTCGGCCCGTCCCAGCCCGGTCATGCTGCTGGGCGCCCCGCGGCTCCCGGGCCGCTGCCTGGGGCTGCTGCGCCCGCTGCTTGCTCGCGGGTACCGCGGCGAGGCGGTGGCGGCCGTGGGGTCGCGCCCCGACGCGAGCTCCGCGCTCTACCAGGTAGGGCGGCAGGGGCGGCGGGGCCCGGGCGGGCCGCGGCAGCGCCATGGCGGAGCCGGAGCGGCCGGGGCCTGCGGACGTGGCGAGCACGTGCCCGTGCACGGTGCCGGTGCCGGCCCCGCTCCCCGAGCGCCCAGGCCTGTCCATTTCTGCGGGCTGAGCCTGCAAATACCGTGTGAAAAAACAGTGGGTTGGTGCAGTCGTCTGGCTCGTCGTGGATATTTTTTTCCCTTTTAAATCAGGATGCCAGCTCTTGCTGCGTTTCAGGCTGATCGGTACCATGCTAGTGAGGTGGAGACGGGGTTTGTACACAGTGGAAGGTGGAGCCTGATGATTTCAAAGTTCGATGGTTTTATGTTTGCAAATTCATTCCCGAGCTGAAATCAGGTGAAATAGCTGTACAGAGTCATGGACTTGCGTCCTAAACCATCATCTTTTGAGGAGGAGAGCTAGGTGTAATTCCAGTTGTCTTTATGAAGAGAGAAGTACTTCCATCTGATATAAATACATTTCTTTTTAGTGGGGCATTATTAGCGCCATCATAGTCAAAAATTGTGTTTACAGTTAGGCTGAGAAAAACATGGCTTAAGTATGGATCAAGGCTGATAGGAGGGCTTGTGTTTGTTTTCATATTTGTTCTTGTAAAATACAAAACAGTGTGTGAAGAAACAGCATGTATTCTTACTGAGATAGGTCCATTGGCTCTGTGTTTGGTTCTCTGATTTGTTTTGCAGAAACTAAATTTGGGACAGAAATAGGTGGCTGAAGCTTCTGTGTAATCTCGGAATTTGTCCGTATGCATATTCTTCATATATATGTACATATATATATATGCACATACAAAGCTTGTGTATGTGAAGTGTGTATATATATATGTGTACAAATTCATATTTTGTGTACCAGAAAATGATAGTATTTTAATAAAGGTGTTCACTCATCTGAGCTGTCCCCAGATTCGCCCTTATGTCTGGGTACCTTTCAACCTCAAAAGAAAAGCAAGGCTTGGCAAAATAGCTAATAGTGTTAGTATTTGGTAGAAATAATTTATGGAACACTCTAAGTGCAAGCACTGCTTTACTAACACAAAGAGCTGAGTCCCTGCTCTGAGGCACTTCACCATCTGAAAAAAAAAAAAAAAGTAATACAAGGAATAACAGTGCAAACACAAGAAGACATTATGATAGGTGATGAGGGTCTTGCCTTCTTTGGCTACTGTTTACCTTTCTGGCTGTGAATTAAAGTAGACAGGCTGGCCTTGATGATGCAAACTGTCTCTTGAACCAGATAGGCAAAAATGTAATTTAAAGGTGGGTGAGTCTAAATTCTGGAAAATGAAACAAAGTCTCTTTGAAGATTCCAGGCACTATCTCTTACATACACTTTGGCGATGTAGCAGTAATTCATGGAGCTTGTGCAGTAACTGTTGGATTGGTGTATAGGGTTTGCCTCTTAATTTTGCATTGAAATTTGTAGAAATCCTTGTATTAACAGCAGAACTTTACACAGCTTGCTGGCGCAAGGACCAGTTTCCAGAAAGAACTTGATGCCAGTTCACTGACTTTTTTTTTCATTATTTAATGACAATAATGAGGAGCCCACAAATACATGGTAGAATTAGTGCATTTATTTCTGAGAGTAGTCTTTTCTGTGTGTATTCAGAATTATTTTAAAACATCCTTACATCTCTTTACTAAAGTATAACAGTGTTCTATTCTGGTTTAAGGCATGAAAGATCGTGATAGAAGTTGAGTGAGTTTAAGCAACTCAGGTGTTTTTGTGCAGTATTTCTTACAGTTTATCTAAAAAGTCCTTTCACTGTTTTCATGTAGAGTAGATAAACTAGCTACAGTGAATCAAAATCTAATGAGAAGTCTATGACTGTGATTACTGTTCTTCTATTAATATCCTCTGCCATTTTAGTTGCTTCTTTGGTTTTTTCCTATGTTAAAGGTAGTTTCTAAGCACAGTATTGTGTGCAGAAGGTGAATGTGTTTAGAGAAAAAAAGACTGACTGAACAAGGAGAAACAGGAAACATTTTTGGTGTGTAAAGGTGCAAAATGACCCAGCTGGACAAGCTAAACACTGAGGCAAAGTAATATTGGGTGTTGTGACAACCACAGGCTTTTAAAAGTATGGAATTACAAGATACATTTTTACCTTTCAAGAGAGTGTGTTTAAACTGTTTGTGGCAGTTACAAAGGCTGAAAAATACATTGTTTCAAATGTCACTCTACAGCCAAAGTACTTCAAATGCTAGCTGAATCTGTTAATGTTTTTATTTTATTTCTGCTTTGTTTCTTTGCCTTTCAGTGCCTAAGTGAACAAACTCAACTGCAACATTTGCAGCTTCTTCCTGAGGGAAACCTTAAGTCTGTGTGTTCAAGTATATATGAGAGTTATAGAGAATTAGCATAGAGTTACCAGCTGGTTTTTTTCTGTCAAAGTAGACTCAAACATCATATAAATGAGAATTAGACAAGGCAATCAGATCTTTTTGTGCAGCATGTTCTTTTATTGCAGTTGCACTTTTCAAAAAGATAGTAAATTTCTTAATGTGTCTCCAAAAAAAACCCAACAAATTAAGCTTGACTTATACCTTTAAATTCATAAGTGACTGTAAAAAAACCCCAACCTGCTGTAATGTGCACATGGAGTTTTGGATAATTTGAATGAAAATGGTGAGCTCAGTACTGATTCAGTCATATTCAGATTATGAATCTTCATTTTTCTAGAAATATAATAGCAACAACACCAGCTTAAAAAAACCAAAAAACCAAACAAAACCAAACCAAGACAAAACAAACAGAACCATCTTTTGTTTTATCTTCTTGTTCAACCTAAACAAGAATCTAAAAAGTGTTTACCAAAATCTGTTTGACCTAGGTCATTCATCCTTTAGTACAAGTCATAAGAGCACTTAATTAAAATCTGTGGTTTTTACAAAATTAGATATACAATGCAAACAAACCTATGCCAAAGGAAAAAATCTAAGAAAAAAGCCCTTCAACTCTGTAGTGACTAGTTAAAATATTTAGTAAACCAAATATTTTAGTTTATTAAATTCAGAACTAGTCTTTTACTATCCTAACACTATAAGATTTTTTGTAAAGCATTTTGATTAAATGCTTTGGGATGCTTGAGAGAAGCTAGTACATAGGTAGGAATGTTACTACTTTAAAGACAATATAGAGATGGTATTTAGTAAGGTAAAATTAGAATTGGAAGAGAAATTGTACTTCTTGTGTTTGTTTATTAAAAAATTTAATATAGTCACCCTTGGTTGAATTTAAAATTCTGTTTTGTTCCCCACTTAGGACAACTATGAACGAATGAAGGCACTGGTAACTGAGCTACAAGAAAAAGCAGAAAAAATCAGGTTAGGTAAGTATGATAGTCTAGATTTTAGAATAATAACCTGGCACTTGGCCTTGTTGAACCTCAAAGAGTTGGCCTTGCCCATTGATCCAGCCTGTCCAGATCCCTCTGCAGACTCTTCCTACTCTTCCTACCCTGCAGCAGGTCAACACTCCCATCCAGCCTGGTGTTGTCTGGGAGATTACTGAGGGTCCACTCAATCCTCTGTCCAGATTGTTATTAAACTTATTAAACAGGACTGGACCCCAAACCCAGCCCTGTTTTTTTTGGCCCCCACTAGCTACCATGCATGAGCTGGATGTAAATCCAACACCTCCACTCTCTGGCCCAGCCAGAGACAGAGCCCAGCTGTCCAGACAGAGTCTTTTACCCAGCCAAGAGTGCACCAATCCAAGCCACGAACAGCCAGGAGAAAGCTGTGGGAAGTGGTGTCAAATGCTTCATCAAGGTTCACAGAGACAACATCCGCAGCCTTTCTCTCATCCACTAAGTAGGTCATCCTGTTATAGAAGGAGATCAGGTTGGTCGAGCAGGACCTGTCTTCCCTAAACCTTTGCTGGCTGGGCCTGACCCCCTGGTTGTGCTGCATAATGGCACTCAACAAATCTGCTCCATGTGGCACATTTGTTGAGTGCCCTTATGGCACATACAGGACAGCCTGGCACCACTCCCTGGCACCACTGGCAGACTGACAGGTCTGATTGACAGGCACTTCCCTGGATTGTCTCTCCAGCTTTTCTTGCAGATGGGTGTCACACTGACTAACTTCTGGTCACCTGGGACCTCCCTCTGTAGCCATGCCTGCTGCTAAATATTGGACAGTGCCTCTGTGAGCTCTTTCACCAGCTCCCTCAC